TAAAAATTTAAAAAGATAAGAAAAATAAAGAGTATTTTTTTAAATATGACTTATTATTATACAAAATGCAAATCTATGCATACCGATATACAGACAGATTTATATTTTAGTTGACATTCAAATATGAAAGAAATATGTAAAATTCAAGAAATATTTTCGACAAAAATTGTTTTAAAGAGAAATAAGATACAGTTTTTATTTTAATTATATTTTAGATAACCATATTAAAGTTATATCACAGTCATTTTAAGTTTTTTAAATAACACCTTATTTATTCTTATCCATTCTGATTGTTGATGTCGAAATGTTTCCAAAATAGTTAAATCCTCTTTTGATCAAGTTTCTCTGAATTGTAAATATTCAAAGTTTAGATACTGCCGGCATTATATCTATGTATATGTATAGCATAAACTAAAATGTACATTACATAGCTGAGATTGCATAGTCAGATTTACACTTTATAACAAGTGTGTGTATATGTGTGTGTATGAAAATATAAATGGTATTGTGTATGCAAATGTATATATATTGATTAAATCAATGAGATAACATTTTCAATAAATTTATCAATTGAATTTACTTTATCAGATGTTGAAAATGACCGCCAACTTTTATACATTTTTTTCATCATACGTACACATACACATGCGCGTACACATATATGCACACTAACATAGACATGTATACTTGCGCAAGGTGTAAATTTATAGATCTTATATATGTGAACTGGCAATATATAAGCGAATTACGTACGGAGGAAACACTACTTCTTTTCTTCTCTCTCTCTCAAATATTCGGAAATATGTTTTACACATGCTTATATTGTACATTGAACATATTTTGATTGATGTATATTTTGATTGATGTATATCATAGATATGGAGTATATATAACTTATGTGTGGAGATAGTATGTGCAATTGTATGTATGTGTATGTGTATTATGTGTATATCACTTCCGGACACTTAGAAAAAAAAAAGTATGTAATATGTATGGTATGTCTAATATCTTCCGAACATTCTTTTAATGCAGAAACTATAGTAATTGCCAGTCCATATTTATAAGATTTGTGCGTAAATCCGATCATAAGACTTTTATGTAATACATCTTGATGTACGCTAATTTAAGCTATTAACGTTATAAGTCTCCGCGAATCCATTTATAGTCATATCTAGTTTAGATCTAATTCATATGATACTTTATTAAATAATAGTCAAGAAGAAATCTAATAAAACTAATCTAAAATTGATAAAATTAATAGAAAGGTTCAAAAGTTTCGTTGCTTTTCTCATCATTTTTATATCATTAAGCTCCATGTAAAAGCGATTGACTTGTAATTGATAAATTTCGACTAATTCCAACCGTCAGACTTTTTTCCATTAATTGTAAATAACTTAAGAATTAAGAGTTGGATAGTCATTCTAGTATTTGTTTATTATATATACGCAGGATATTCAGGAAATTAATTTCGTTTCAATTTAAAAAAAATACACAGTCTGCTTTCTACGAGTCGCTGATTTGACAGGAGACATAACTTTGTCATTTGAGTCTGCATTAAGAGAATATTTGAAAATATAGATCTTTTATTTTAAGATATTTAATTAACTTTAAAAATCATCTCTAACTTTAAAGGTCATTATCTCACATCTTACTAATTTAAAATAATCAATTCTTGTACAAATCTGCATATCTCTCTTATACATGCTCACTTGTATAATAATAAAATAAATAATAACTCACTCTGTATAATAATAAAATAAATAATAAATATAATAAAAATACTTAAAATAATTAAAAACAAATTATATATATATATATATATATATATATATATATATATATATATATTTTAGAGTTATTAAAATTTGGAAATATAACTCTTTTCTCTTTTTCTTTTTTCTTCTTTTCTTTCTCTGCTCTTTTTCTCTCTTTTCTCTGTACAACCTTTTTATTTTGTTCTCTTACTGCACTGTGAATTGTGTGCATCTTAATCCTAATAGGTATTTACGTACCGAATAGCTCACCTATACGTATATCCTTCGGCACCTGCACTCCGTATCGGTGGATTTCGATGATCCACGGAGGACTTCCTTCCGGAATTTCCAAATCTGCCGCTACCGGCATTCTTCCTCTTCGCATGCGAGCCACCGGTGAACATCATCTTCCACGGCTTCACCAACAACCCAGTTTAACTTCACTTTATACTTCACATCGACAGTATCATCGTGTTTTAATTCATAATCCATGATTCATATACTTGCGCGTTATTGAATCGTACCCAAGTCTCGTGCATTTTGATGCTCGAATTTAACGTGTTGAAACGGCTGAACAGACACGAAAAAATTCGATACTAAAGATTCAATATAAATATCCGGTGGTTTCGCAATTCAGCATACCGATTCATTCTTATATTCCAAAAATAATCGCGCAATCGAATTCACGCGATATTGAGAGCGAAATGTTGACATTCAAATAAAACGCGTATCACTTGCGTATGAAATGCACTGCATTACGAGAAATATGTGTTTTCGGCTATTAGTTTGTTGCATCCTCTTCCATTTACACTAAATGAATAAGAATCAATCGCGCGTACAATGTTATATTTTCACAAAAATTAGAAATGAGCGAAAAATTTCAAAACTTGCGTTTTTCATGTTTTCCTGGAACTCGAAGATTTATCAATATTTAATTATTAATGCATATTTTTTAAAGATTAATCATTAAGCGTCGTTAGCATTATTCGTGCTCGCTAGAACCGCACTTTGTATCTTTGTTTTCATAGCATATATTTATTTGTATTATATTTAATACAATTTTATGCCGAAAATTTTCCCTACAAAAAGTATAAATGCCTTTAATTACATATATTACTCAAAAACAAATGCAAAGAATATCAATTTGCTTATTAAAAAAAGAAGAAGGATATGCACAATTTTCACATATTTGTTATTAATGTGAGAATTATATAAAAATCACCATAATGTTGAAAAAATTTGGAGAACACAAAAATTTTCGGAGCGACTGAACATTCATTATTCACCAAGGTGAATCTGCTCTTACGACTTCAATTATCAAACGGAGATCACATATTCAGCGAGAAAATATTCCGTACAACGCATTTATACAATGTCCTCGCACTTGCAACTATCTATAGACCGAATGATATTTATCCGATCCATTTCGAAGCATCATCGTTTGCCACCAGGAAGATGCGGGAAAAATTCCTTTCTTTTTTCTTCAACTTTTCCAAACGGAAAACGATACGCAGATAATGATGATAGTTGGCACCGTTGACATTGTTGCGATTATCGCTCCCGGCTCTCGGTTTGCTCCGACGACGTATCGAAAAAACATGACATGAAAACGGAATAGCACGCGTTAAACTGAGAAACAACGACGAGACTTGGAGCAACCGGGCGAGCAGCAGCTGTTCACGGTCTTACATTAGAATATCCGTAATTTCCGTAATTTTACTTCCGTGAGTTTCTGTCGACGTGATATTCGCCGTCTCGCTGCCCGAAAAAGAAAATACCGTTGCCGTTTTCGTGGTCGATCGTATCATTACGCATTCATCTCAAAACAAATTCGATGATCATCGGACAAACGTTGGGATAAACGTAACAACTAGATTTTGACGCTTGCAAAGGTTTGCAGAAAACTCCGCCGCAGTCTATAAATATCAGCCTGTTGAATACCGCCCGCCATAAAGCGTCAGGGCTCGATCGTTGCGCCAGCTGTGCTAAATATCGCAAGGCACAGGAATATTACTCAATACTCGCAATATATTTTTCAGGCTGGAAAGCGGAATCAGAATTTCTAAATAACAATAATGCCTCTTTTGACAATAACGAATTTTACAAACCGTATCTAATTATCTCAAAAATTCAACAACTTTGTCTTATTTCAAATACATTACAGCTTATTAATTTTTTTCTAAAAGAATTAAAAAAAAAATTTATATATGTGCACATGTGTATGTTGTATTGTTATCTTTTTATTTGTAGAAAGCAATAAAGACTCACAGAAAAAAACATGAAATATGCTAAAATAGATAATTTCAAAAATGGACTTGAATTTATGATTTTACTTCAAATCATTTATTGTCTTTATTAACATACGACACACTTATATGCAATTATTTATAAAGACGATATGTGTATTGAAGAAAGAGTTTTTATACATTATTCATTATTCTCGTATAATCAATGAGCAATACATTTTCCATAAATCACATACACAGACTGGAAATTTGAATCCATAACAATCTCTTCTCTTTTTCTTTCTTAAGTAATATCAATTTCTTATTGTAGATTGTATACAATGAGTTTTATTTACTTAACAAGTACAGAGGACAAGTTTTATCAAATAAACTTTAATAGGCGAAATCAAAGATTAAGAATAGATTGATTTTGTAATATAGAGAAAAATAAAAAAGTGTTACCAGAACCCTCCTGCCCGTCATACACTGACTATGTACATACTATAAATCGAAAATTTTATGTACATCTAAAATAGCATTTGTGTGTAGCAGTAATAATAGTATAATAGTAATAATGTAATAGTAATAGTAATAATTAGTAGTAATAGTAGTAGAGTAGTGAGAGTAGTAGTAGTAGTAATAGTAATAATTATTATAATAGTAAGTAATTATTATAATAGCAGAAAGTAGTATTCATAATAATAATGCCGTTGTATTGTACATTTCTACAAATCATCTCTCAAATACAAATTAACATACAGATAACGGCAATATTACAGTTACGGTAGTACACAGATAGCTTAACTCATTTTTCTTCAGCTATTTCATGCATACCTTAATCGTAAAATTGTGTACATATAAGCTGTTTATTTAAATCTATTATATAGATTAACACAACACATCACCATTAGAAAAAAATCACTTACTGTAATAATTGTGCAGACTTCAGTGTAAATATAAACTTATTGAAATTTTTAAGAGTTCAAGAACTAAATTGCTCTTTATTTTATAATTTATAACAATTTATATATAATTGATATTACACTATCTTTAAAAATCCCTATTTTTCATAACACACACGCACTTTTATTTAAGAAACTTTAAATTTCAAATAAAAGATTATGAAGTGGGAATGATTATAAAGACATTTTATATTTATGAAAAAAAAAAGCAAATCTAATTTGTACAAGAATATCAACTTATATATGCGTACCACGACTTAATCTTCTTTGTCTTTCGACAAATACTGGTGTCAACAGGGTTGCAACTTCTGAAGGAAGGCACAAATCATAGCCATTCTATTGCGCATATGCTAGATAGAGCCTTATACTTTTGAAAAATTTAGCTCTTCTTACATATTAGTGATCTCTATTATAGTTGCTTGAATTAAGCTGATGCTAATGTGGCTAACGCCCCATTGGAGTTATCAATTGGTTGTCAATGATCAGTTGCTACTTTTTTAGGATGGCGTTCTTGCGCGCGTTTAAGTCGCTGCAATAAAAGATTATGCAGTTCATCGACTTCTTTAGGTGCTGCTTGGACAATAAAAATTCGGATATCTCCATGAACATCCATTGCAGTTAATCTTAATGATTTAGGACCAGCACGTTCTGCAGTCATACCCGGCCATACTTTCGTATTCAGAATCAATCTTTGTGTTCCAGCGGTACGACCAACTAAACGAGATTCTTCATCTCGGTCGTTAAGTCTTAATGTTCCCCTTCCTCTTTCTTGCCAATTGCTAGTGGTCTACAATATAAAAAAAATAGAAATCAAAAATTTTTAAAATTCAATAGTACGCATAAGTAGTCCATATATTGTACAAAATTAAATTTATGTAGTATACATTCATAATTGTATGACTAAAATACTAATAAAATACTAATGAAATTTACATTTCTGGATATTTTTTTATATTAAATATAACAAAGACAAAGTAAAATCTCAACATTTATATTACTATCATATATGTTAATTTTCATAATAATTTTGAATCTTAATATCAAAAAAAAACTTATTTAAAAAATATCGCAAACATAATTTTTTTTAATATTTTCAAATTTCTTATAAATATAGATAAAAAGATTTTCTTAGTTTCTTAGTAAATTCGAAAATGTAAATATCAAAATCTTTTTTTTTTTTGTATCTTTAATTTTATACAATTTCTGATGCGTTAATTAATTAATCTGTTTATGGGTCATTTTTAATATTCAAAATTTATAAGAATTAAATACATGATCTGAATTTAAAATAAAATTCATATTTATCAATTATTTATTAATTTGTATATATTTGATAATTATGTCATATAGATTCATAGATAGAACAGTAAAATAAAAATAATGATTGAATTCATTGTTATTGAAAAAAATATGTGAAAATTATTTTTTCTATTACAGACAAAATTTATAATATCATTACCATTATTTTAATTATAAGAAAAAATAATAGTAATACAATTATAAGTAACCAAGAAATACGAAGTAATGCATCATTTCCTAACTCTGAATTTATCCATTAAAAGATATTTGTTATACATACCTTATCAAATGCAAATAATTTGCAATTCATTTGAAGAATGTTTGTTTCTCCTTCTTCACCAGTTAACAATGTTACTTGATTATATTTTCTTTTGTTTGCACGATTAGCCTCTTCTAAAACCTGTGCTGCTTGCGTTAATGTTAAACCTGGCCTTACAGTAGCACGACAATTTGCAGCTGCATTTGAGAATAAAAGCTTAGAAGATCCATTCTCACTACTTTCTTCAGTTTTTGTCTCTTCTTTTTCAGAATTATCTGAACTTTCTGTTATCGCATCATTCGAAACAGTAACACGTTCCTTCAAATTTTGACCGAATACAAAACTAGGTGTATCGGCACTGGATGTTACAGTATTATTTACATTATTTTCATTCTCTTTTGTATTCACACCCAAAGGTAAAAATTTTGGTTTTATATCTTCTGCAGATTTTTCTTCATTTTTAGATTCTATATTCACTTCAGTTTTATTGTCTTTTGTCATAGATTCATCTTCTATAGAATTATCGATGATCTTTGTAAATGGATTGTGAAATTTTGCAGGTTGTAAAACAGTTTTGTCAGTAGTAGAACTATTGGTAACTACAGTTAATTGTGATGGTCTTAATATAGACGACTTCAATTTATTAGTTACAGAATTTGAAAATTCATTAACACCAAATAAATTTCCAAATTTTGAAGCAACTAACACAGGACCTGTAAATATATCATATGTATATACATATATATATTTTTTTTATATGTATATATATATAAATACATATGCATACAAATGTATAATGAATATACATCAGTTTTCTTAATTTATATAACTCACTATGTTTTTTATTTGAAGATTTAAAGGATGTTAATGTAGATTCTTGGTTATTCGTTTCTGGTTTATATGTTTCCTCTACAAAATTCATAAACTTACTGTATTATTAAACAATTAAATATTTTGCAATAAAGTAATAAAAAAATATATAATTTATAATATACAAATATTAATTTTTGTAATTGCTCTATGAATTTCTGAATAATATATGAAACGTTTTAATAATTTGGAATACTTGTAAATATATATACCGCAATCAGATTGCATAGCTGAATTACTATTCGTCGAATCTTCGGTGGTATCTTCGGTATCTTCCAGTGACTCCTCGGGCGGATCAACTTTTAGGACAAGTGATGGACGATCAATTTCCTCTGTAGTTTCTAAAAAACAGCATAAAAAATTAAAATTATTGACATGAATGGTTAGTTTGTCAGATCGTGAACATGTAAACATGGAATTTTCACCGATAAAAAATGCATAATATATTTTTAATTAAAGGCCACATCATATAAATCATGTGATATAAAGTACTTTCAGTATTTACGCGATATTATTTCATGACACTTTTGGGTAATATAATTAAATCAAGAGAAAATACAAAACGCACCCTTGCCATCCGCCATTTTTCTCGAAATGAATACAGCCGAAGGACATTATTAAGGTACGTTTCCATATTGACATTTGATATTCATTTTCAAAAGATGTACAAATGATTAAAAATAAAAGTATGTATGTACATATCAATCAGTTATTTTTTATGCATGATCATGAATGACGTCTCTTGATATTAAAAATTGCGTTGAGTTTAGTATAAAAAGATATCTTTAAGCTGGGTTCATTTCGAAGACATATACAGGGTGTCTCATCTCCGTACAATATTTTAAAATGTTTATATTAAGATTTTTGACTCTCTTTTATATTTGATTAAAATTATATGGAAAATTATATGAAAGTTATACGATAGTTGTAAGACACCCCTTATAACATATAAGTGTTTATATACAATATGTTAGGAATAGTAAATATTTTTAGAAAGTTGTAGTATCGATTATTCTGAATAAAAAACTCATATATAACATATATTCAAATGCCAAACGATGTGGAGATATAATTGTTTTAAACTAGTGTATAAAAAAGTCATTACCAGAGATATTAAAAAATGATAAGTAACTTGTATTTACTATTTGAATGATATAAATAATTAACAAATAATTTTCATATATTAATTGTTCGAAAATTCCACCACCAATCTCAAGTCTAATACGTCATTATGTACGTCATGTAAATGCTCTACGTACAGACTTCTATATATTATCTAGACTGCGGTACTATATGACATGACGCACTGAAAGTTCACTGAAAAGGCGCGATAATTCGATTAGCGCATGTTGAGAAAATATTATTATCATCTTTCAATTGAAAATTAATTTAAAACTCTATAATAAAAATAAGTAGATTATAATATTTGCAAAAGGTTTATTAATTTACTAATTTGATATTATTTTATATTGTGTTTTTTTTCCATATAAAAGTAATAAATTTGAGACAATAAATCTCCTTCCCTTCCTCTCTCTCTGTCTCTCTCAATTATAAAAATTATTTATAATAATAAATTTATATATATATAAATTTTTAATAATTTTTTATAATAATAAATTTATATATATATATAAATTTTTAATAATTTTTATAATTGAGAGAGAGAGAGAGAGAAAGATTATATATATATATATATATATATATATATATATATAATCTTTCTCTCTCTAAAGATTAGAGATAATATATATACTATATAAAATAAAATTTTGTATTCATCCATCGATTTCAATGGATTGATAATTAAAGAATGAGTATCTATCATCTCAATTGTACCTTCTTATCTTCTTATCTTCCTATCTTTTTACTCTCTGCTTTCTTTCATTTGACATGAAACAGCTGTAGTATAGGTACTACGTACTACTTGCGACCTTTAAAGAGAGAGAAAAAATATACGTGAGAAATAATATACGTGATACAAAAAGTGTTAGTATAAAAAAAGACGAACCTTTATATTTCGCCGGTGCGCGTGGCAATTCGGCGAATACGCATGCGCTACCACGTACCACTGTGTGTTAATTGACACCTCACCAACAAACTAGATCGACACACGTTGTACTTTGATCATACACTGTACCTATTCCAGTTAAGTCAGCTCCAATTCAGTGCCTTTCGGAGTCAACGGTATATCGTGTTTGTTGTCACCGCGTTGTATTTGTATTGTCGTTGATCCGCGTTCGTCGCAATGTCGTCCGGTAGCTGGGAATTGGTCAGCAGGAAGAAGGACAGGGGAAACGACAAGTCCAGCAAGCTCACGAAGGCCGAGAAGAAGAAATTTATCGAGAACGCGCCGAAAGTTGAGGACTTTTGTAAGTCCGCTATAACCCCTACCTATTTAAAAAAAAATTAATTCTCTAACTTTCTACAACTTTGTTCCGATTTGTCACAACTTTGTCTTTACAATTACAAGATATTGCTGTAAAAATTATACGATCCTGGTGAATAACCGATCAGCTATGCTTTAAAAAAATAGTCGCAATATGGTACTAATGTATGTACTTTTTTGCGAGCGATTCAGTTATTTTCATTCTTTTTGTTGCAAAGTAATATACAATGGACTGAATGAATGTTTATATGGTTTGTGACAAATCATCATTTTAAATTATCATTACTTTATGAATAAACATTAATTTCTTGCTCTCATGTATCAAGATAGTTATCTAACAATTTATGAATGATTCTAGTACCATTGAGTCAAGTAAAGACGCTCTATGACAATCTGGATGGAAACAAGGAGAATAAAAAGCCTGCCAAGACACAAGCAAAAGAGCACAAGACAAAAGAGAATGAGGAGAAGAAGAAGCAACAGCAGCAGCAAAAACAGCAACAAGCTGAGAAGAAGAAGCAAGAACCCAAGGAAAAACCTCCCAAAACTATTAAGGATGCATTAAACGCAGTAAGGCAGTTGTTGATTTAAAATAGATATGTAGAAGCATAGTTGCAATTAATTTTTCATATCTGGGCATTTATTATATCATACCATTTTAACAAAAGAAAAAATTTTCCGCAAAAGCACAGATATATTGAATTATGTACTATAAATTTTTTTACAATGTACACAGATCAATGTACAAGAGCTCGATGAACTTCTGACTACTGCGCAAATCAGATTTCCTGAAGCTCCCTTGCTCTGGTTGAAAGAACTCAATGCTTTTCTCAACATCAAGATACCTATTAGCAAGGAAGATACAATATTCTCAGGAAAACCTAAGGATTATCCATTAAGTCTAGTACCTAAGGCGATCTCTTCCATACTCGAACAGGCAGTGGAAATGGCGGGGCAACAAACTATACAAATTTTTTACGAGAATACTCTCACAGCAATGGCTACTGACATGGTTAAAGGCATTCCAGTTATCGGACACAAGATATTTTTGCAATTACTAGCGCATTTAAATCCCGAGATGACTGCCGCCAACATTCCCAAATTGATTAGCGTAAGAAACTCTTACGAGAACAGGAAGAATATTGGCTTATCCCTGTTGTGGGCTTGGTCGCAAGCTGGCAAAAAGAATCTAGCAGTCGGTTTAAAGATTTGGCACGAGGTAATGTCACCGATGCTGGAAACGAAGGGATACGCCAGTTACGTCGTGCAGATTCTCAACGATCTTGTTTTCGGCCATGACAATGTTCACGATCTTAGTTTAGATCTTTATCTAGATATTATCATGGATACTTACTCTCAAAGATTTCAAAACATTCAACCGGCAAATCTGGGAAAAGAGATTAGTACGAGTATCGACAAGTTGCGAGTAAGTAATGCAATGCGAATCTTTTCACGAGCCTTGATTTTCGCGCAATTAATCATTAATTATGTGAATGGCACGCGACGAATTAAATGATATCTTTTGCAGTCGATATTGTTTAGGAACAAGGATATAAGTTACACGAAATTATTCGAGATGTTAATGGGAAAAGTATCGCAAAAGTCAGATCCGAATTACAGACATGAGTTAGTTAAGGCTCTCGCAGACTGCCTCGTCACGGAACCTCTTTGCTTTACTACTTGGAATTCCATTTATGTCAAACATTTGTATCAATCCAGTCTTCTTTTATCATATATCGGTTAGTACCCGCGCTTTTCATATACTATAAAAATAAATGGATACATTTACACAAAATCATTTTTACAGATACAACTTTACCTACTTTGCAAACAAAACTCAAAGCTAAGCATTTGAAAGAAACTCTCGGATTTATTCAAAACAATAATGAAAAATGGAAAAAAGCCAAAGACGAAAACTTGGCCCTGGCATGCAAAAAAACATCCCAAGTAAGTGCTTTCATTTATGCAGTATTATATTTATATATACAAAATTTTATCAGAATATAAAATTATAAGCACATATTGTGCTTTGAAAAATAATATAGAATTTAATTGATTATAAGCTATGTTGAAGAAAACGTGAACACAACACTATAAATATTTATTTTTATCAACTGTGATTATCTGATATATCGTGTTTTAGATTATAACTAAAAAAATGTTTTCCAAGTCTATTTTAATATGAATATATAATGCAGCTATTTTTTAATATATAGAGAATAAAAAAATATCTAAATTAATAATCAGCACATGTTAATTAAAAAATTGTTTCCGAAATTATTATAGAAAAGAAATAAGCTTAATTATTTGTTTATCTTAAAAAGGTGAAAGTACGTTTTCTTTGCATTTACACGATTAATAAATGCAATGATGGATATCGTGTATTTTCTTCACTAATATACAAACCATGCATGAAATCATAAAAATATTGCTTTCTATTAGAGTCGTATATCGTGTTTACAAAAGGCGTTGATAAACGCCGCAGAAGCAACAAGCAAGAAATTACTAGTCGTTATTAAAACCAATTACGTTGTAAATTTCGCAGCATGACATCCCGCCACATTCGACCTCTAACAAAGATTGCGTGTGCAAATAGGTAATGACTATAAATTTGCATACTTTCTGCGCGTTGCATCTAATTTAAAACACACATTGTGTGTCTCGCGATATTCCATAAAACCGAGGTTTACGAAAACTTATTCATTTAGATAGATAGTCATTTTGATGGACAGTTATGGACAATTAAACTTGGAAAGCATATTTCCCTTTCACTGAATTCTTCTCTCTTCTCTTAAATTTATATGGATTATAGTAATTTTCTCGCTTTTGCCAAGCAACAACTATTTTATATTTAATGTAAAACTCGATCGATCCCCTGAATTTCGTCTGATATGAAAATTTCATTCAATATAATTTTAAAATATCTATACATTTCGATTAAATCTTTCTTTTTTGTATTTCTATTTATCTATAAATATATTATATAGTTTTTTAGAGAAGAGAAAAAACACGAAAATTATACGGAAATAATTTTAAAGATTAGAGACTAGTAATTTGAAAAATTAAAAAACAGTATACATTGAAGGAGATTAAGAATTTAGTTACAAACAACAACTCTCAGAAGAAAGTTCATAATCGATATAAAAAAAACAATAAAAAAAGAAGGATGATCGATAGATACGTTTCGTGAAATAACGTCATCGCTGATTAGAATTAGACGCACAATTACGTACTACGTCGCAATCTTCGTCAATACGTAAAATCTATTACGTAGTGCGTCATCGTATCCCTATATATTCCCAAACACCGGGTATAATATATATATCAACAAGTTAAATTCTGTAACGCGTTGGTATCTACTATCAATTGATTTTCAAAGTTTTTATAAATTGGTAGGTTGAAATATATATAAATATATATGTACATATGTAAATATGTATATATAAACGTGTATGTGTGTGTGTGTGTGTGTTTTTCTCTCTCTCTTATTCCCCAGTCCGGAGGCAAGACACTCTTGTCGTAAACATTGCGCGCCACTCTGCTCACACTTCTCCAAAGAGGAATTTGGAGAGATCATACAAGTCGGAGTTAATTAAAATTTCATAACTGTTCATAATTGTCCATAATTACCGCGGCATACTTGGTGTTCTCGGCTAGAAATTATAGCGGCATACTTGGTGTTCTCGGCTAGAAATTATAGTGCGCAATCGAAGAGGTAAATTTACATTTATTTCCGCGATTAATACTCTTGATACAATATTCAGATAGTTCAATAAAGCTTGTTTGTTCGAATCGCTCTTCGTGATCGAAGAGGATCTTTTGCAGCGGAGTGATTCGCGCGGGGGAAGAGCCCCTCGGCGCGTTTGAACCCGCTTCGCTCGGGCAGTTTCGTCCCTGCTCGACGTCAACAGGCGGCCGAGAGAGAGGCGGGCTCGATTCGAACAAACTCCATCGCATCTGCTCTCGCGTCAGCAGGTTAGGTGGCTGTTTTCGGGAGTGTACGGGACTTATTGATCGCTCGCGTTGCCCCCTCACCGCGCGATCGGCTGTACGACTAGTACGACATTGACATCATTCGCGTCTCTCCGCGTTTTTCTTTTTTTTTTCGAGCCACGTCGCGGAACGAAATCGGAGTCCCGGTTAACAGCTCTGACGCGTCTCGAGTTTCCGCAGGTAAGATAAAATTCCTCGCGTCTGGATATGTGTATATATAAATGTATGTGTGTGAGTATCTGTGTGTGTGTGTGTTTATCTCGCAATTTCCGATTCTTTCGACGCAACTCGTAATTATTTATGTGTGACTCGCGATAGAAATGAAAGATCGAGTCGCTCGAGTGGCTGTTTACATTTTTCCAACATATCGATGACAGGCCGATTTTTCAATATCGATGAGCTATCGATGAAAGGATGTTGTCATGAATTATCATTAATTAGTTTTCACGTAATCGCGATTTCAGTCTTTTCGGAGGACTTACATAGGGTACAGTTTCTCTCATAAGCACGGTTGTCACGATTATTTTTGCATATTTTACTATCAATTTTATTTATTATGATCAATTAGAATTCATTCTCGCGTGCATAAAAGAAATCAACGCGAGAGGCAAATGTTGAACGTAAAAAAAGACGAAATCCTCGCGTGACGTTTGATCAATCGTCTTTTAAAGTTTGAGTGAAACTTTGGTATATTAAATAAATTTTTGAGAAGCCAATTTTATTATTTATTCTTTCAGGCACTATTTAAGAAAATGACCTCTTCCACGCGTCGCAGTTTTCCATGGAGATCTGCCAGTCTCCTTTTATTAGTACTTATTGGTGCTATTGTAGCATATGATACACAAAAACATGGCTCCTTTGAAGGTAAGAATATTTCGCAAACAACAACATTATCACTCTACTTATTTCTTATTTCATAAGGCTTATTTTATGGGTTTGTCATTCTAAAAGATTGTTCTCTCGTCTTCTTTTAAATTTTTACAATTAACATTTTATATAAAATGTTCATTCAGAGTTAGTTACAATCTTATTATCACACCTTATTATCACCTACAATCTTATTATCACCTTATAATGTTTACAATGACATGAACAATTAAATTATCATGGTAGTAATAGTAGTAGTAGTAGTAGTAGTAATAGTAGTAGTAGTAAAGAAAATGGATTGGGCTAGGTCAGTCTCTAATGTCACTTATGCTGTGGTCAAGGACTGAAGATGCTTTGAAGTGTTTGATTGATCAAGATAAGAAGAGTAAAGATTTCTTTAATCCTTGATCAATCAAACTTCAAAGCATATCCTTCAAAGTGTTTCTTTGACCACAGCACTAGATCTAAAAGTTCTTTTGTAACCCCCGTGGTTGTTTGAAGTCTAAATTATCATGGTTGATTGGCAAAACTCTCTATTGCTACTATAAACATCATACCCATTAATACTTTCTCTGTACTAATTTCTTTGTAATTAAATTTGAGATACAAATTGGTCCTTTATTTGATTATACATTAACATTTATTATGTGTGTTTATAGCATCTCAAATTGGAAAGTTCTTGAAAACTAATGGAATATTGAAACATATTGAAAAAGCATGGGCTACAATAAAGTTATATTGGTCTGCAGGACATAAAGCAATCAAGGATAGCTCACCAGAATATTATAAAGCTATTGTAGACTTAAGTTCACCATATGTTAAATTGGCTGGTGATATCTACCTTATAATGAGAAATATTTCAGTTAGACTATATAACAATGCTGCAGCATATGTCGAAAAAAATATACCTGTAGTTTTCGACACGGTAAGTCTAATAAAAATTTTAAATATTTTATCATATATACAACTCTTATAATACTTATAATATATATAATGAATCTTTCTTGCACAGATCGAATATTATGCTCCAGGTATTATAGAAGAAACTAAAACTAAAAGTTTTCAAGCACTGGAGTTTTTGAAAGTTTCCTTCATTCTGATTGGAGAGAAAGTTATCGAACATTCCACTGCAACGATACAATGGTTGGAGAAGAATGTTTTTGTGTAAGTGTTACACTTATATAGAAGCTGCATATATACATCACTTGAATATCTGACTGTGATCTTTTCTTTTTCTGTCTTCAGGGGAAAACTTAGCCCGGATAATCTCCGGAGTTACGCCATATGGGCTTTTGATACGACGCAATCGTATGCCAGTCAAACATATGATTGGGTGTATGAGAAAGTACAGACTCTCTCCAAAGTGCCATGAATAAAATCTATTGGTTTGCTCTAAGAACAATTTTTGGTAACGAAATCTCCATCTATCCACATACCTCGGCATTTATTATTTATGACATGGAAACTTTACATATATGCTTTCGAAGATCACGAATACGTCGGCCATTTTACCTGTGATATCTCAAAAAGAGAGCATCTTATTTTGGTTGGTCCTGACGAAGAAAATTTCGTGACCTTTTGATAAATATGAATAATCGCGAACACTTTTTTATTAAGATAAATACTTGTATCATTTTTTGAAATCATTCTTGATAAGTAATATATATCTATATATAATATATCTATAGGTCTCTGTATGCGCAAAATGCGAACTTTAATATTTTGTATTTTCATTTATAATTTTGAGGATATTGATTGAATATATTCGACTATATTGAGTAATTATAAATAAAATCATTGTTTTTCGTAACAGTTTTTCTTGTAAATGTAATACAAAAATAGGAGTATACTACCAAAGGTAAAAAAATAAGATCATTTATCAATCAATTAATAAAAAATCACGTCAGAGAGATGGGTCAGAGCAATAACAGTGACAACAGTGATATTGTAGGAATAGCAGAATAATATTAATAAATATCGCAAATAATAATAATAATGAGATGATGGTAATAATAGTGACAAAATGCGATAGATGAGTATGATATTATGATGATATATAATATAATTTTAACAAGAATATATTAAAGTTTTACATGGGAAGAGATCTGTGGACAACAGCCACCTCCATAAAGCTACGTATGTAAAAATGAGTGTCTTCATTTCCTTCCTTCAATAGAGCATTTCGGCAGCGTGTTTCTCTTTTATATATCTTTTCTTCCTTCTAAGCATACTCCTCTCTCACAGCTTTTATCCCTGATTACTTCCACGAGTGTGCTTTCATTAATGCTGCACTCTAGGTGCGCTTACATTTTCGTTTTGTGATTGCACACTATAATTCATATGGAAAGAAGAGTTTCATCGTATTCTTATATATTTGATTACATAGATATTCTTCTTCCTCATATCTAATCCGTGCTAGGACTTCCAATATTTGACTGCAAATAGAAAATGCAATTGAAATATATGCTTATCATTTAAAAACACTAAAAGTACAATTATTTGCTTATCATTTAAAAACACAAAGTACAATTAGTGTTATATAATTTTTAATAAAAAGCAAAACTATGTCATGTTACGATTTGGAAAAAAGTGTTCCATATCGACACATATTTTTATTAATTTTTATACTATATTTTTTTACTTTGTTTTCAAGAAATATTAAAATATTGTCATTGATAATACCATAATTGATTATAATCAATTTATGCTATACAGGTACTCACACTATTGTACAGGGTTCGTTCCGTCCTTTAACCATCTGGTCTGCTTGCCACTTTTCTTTCTTAACAGACGGAAAATGTGTGATAACGTCATTTGCGGACGCGTGAGTCGGCCTGATCTCGCACCACGGACAATCAGTTTCTATCATGAGCCTATCTGAGGGGATAGTAGTGATTGCGAAAAGATTATCCTCCGTTTTCAAGGAACTGAAACGCAAAACAAACATTACTATCGGCTCAACTTTTTTTTCTCTTTTTGTCAAGCTCTCTTCAAGAATCACGCACTATCATACCATCCATTGACGCCGATGTACAAGCCTAATTGTAATATGGAATTCGCGTCTTCTGGATTGCCGTCGAACGAATGTACAACGCCTGGCGTCAATTCATTTTTGTGCTTCCTCAGAATTCGTATAAAGTCATCGCTGGCGTTGCGGCAGTGTAGAAACATTGGTAACTTCAATGTGGAACACAGTGATAACTGCATCTCAAAATATTTCTTTTGAGTTTCTTTGGGACAAAAATTCAATCTGTCATAATCCAAGCCCATCTCGCCGATAGCGACGATCTTGTTCTTGTTATTTAGCGCCAGATCGGACAGTATTTTAAGGTATCCTTCTGGATCACCACATTCTTCGAATTCGTTGCAACGAGTCGGATGACAACCAATTGTCGAATACAGTCTGTCTGCAATATGTTAATTAATCACCATCAACAACTTGTAAGTAATAGAATAAAAGAATACAAAGAATTTAATATAATAAATTAGTACAACACATATTAAAAATTAGAATTATTTACAATGTGTAAACATAAAAGAAATATATTGAATAATCTTTTAAGAAATTTGACATGTTTAAAGAGAGATACTTGCCATCGGTTCTTGCTATTTCAAGCGCCTTTTTGCTTTCTTCCACACTACCAGCTGTAATAATGATTTTAGAAAGATTATTGTTCCAACTTCGCTCTAAAACCTTGTCTAAATCTGGCGGATGTTTTTGAGACCCATGATAAATGCCTTGGTACATAGGATCTGTTAAATTAGCTCCAATATCTACAACAATTAAAACAAAAAAAATATAAGGTTTTGTCTCCTTTTAAATATATAAATAAACCTCCTTTTAACAATTTAATTATACAATTACACACAAATACAAGTAAATTATACGATATTCTATTAGCAAATTATTGACAATGTTAAAATATCTACAATGCCTTTTTTCAGTTTCAGGAAACCCAAAGTTACTACGAAAGGAAATTTTTCCAGAAAATGCAAAAATTAAAATAATTCGCAAACTATCGATTGAAAGCGATTTTAATTGTATCGTTATAACCTTCATCGCATGTGTACGTGTGTGTGTGTGTGTGTATGACGCTAGACAAATTATGGAGTACGCAGTTTTGTCGAGAGCGGATGCGAAAGACGATCGTTTTACCTATGAATTTCCGTAGATTGGACATCCTAGTCCTAAGCATAAGAATTGCTCCCGCGCGAATTATCGGAGCCCGAGGAATCGGCTCGAGAATAGGCAAAGAGGTTAGCAGGTGTCCCTCGGTTAACCGGTTCAGCCATCCATTGACACATGGATGAGAGCCAGACGCTCGGCTCGAAGAGAACTGACATCTGACATTGCGCTTTCATGCGCAGTAGGATTCGTTTCGACGACGCGATCCTCGCCGCCGCAAAACATCGATTTAATCTTGTTGCGACTACCGAGTCCCGATTTCTTCCTTTAATAAAATGATGGATGTATTTCCAGGAAGATTTATATCCGCGGATCTCATCGATAATTTCTACCTTTTTACAATACACATAATTTTTGCTCAACATATAATTTTACAATTATTTTGTAATCTCATGTATATATACATTTAATTATTTTATATATTAATCTATTTTATTTATTTATTTTATGTATTATTTATTATACATATTTATTTTATATATTAATATATATTATATATATTTAAATATTAATATAGGTTTTTTTTTCAAACTTTACAGGAACTTAGTAAGCTGAATTTAATCTCGTTCATTAATTTTTTTAGATAATGCAAATCTGCATCGAGGAAAATTGTTATATATACATCCCAAGATGTTATCAACAAATTCTTTTATTTAGGTACAACAGTCTTATAGAGAAGGCCTAAACAAAACCGTCTTTTCCTACACGTATTTATTACAAATCTTAAATTTACGGTACAGAGAGATATAAGAGTTTTTTTTCCTTTCTTCTTCTGACTCGATGCGTCTGTAAACTCGTGGAATCCTTCGTTTACATTCTCGCGAATGGAATATTAACAGATGCGACAGAGATTTGTATTACTGTACGTATTGCAAAAATACACCATCAAGTTATTCTCAAGTTCGTTCGCGGAATGCAATTACTGGAGCGACTTGACAATCGCGTTGATCTTCTCGACGCAGTCCTCCTTCTTCTTGGCGATCGCCGCCTCCGCCTCGACGAACTGCTGGCGACCGATCTTCCCCGGGACCAGCTTATCGACGTACAACGCCTGCTGCTGGTTGTAGAGCTCCTTCAGAGAACGATCGCACTTTTGCAGCTCCTGCACGCGATCGTACACGTCGCCGGATTCGCCCTTCAGCTTCTGCGCGATCTCGTTGAGCGCCCCAGTGGCTGCCTTGTACTCCTGATTGATGCCCTTCACCGCAGCCAGGAACGCGTTGGCGTCCTTGTTCGTCTTTAGGTAGGCCAGCTGATCGTCCAGCTCGTTGTAGGACGTGACTCGACGATCCTGCGCGGCCAGTATCTTCTCGCATTGCCCGGCGATCCTCAGTTTGCTCTCCGAAATCTCGTCCTTGTCGATGGAGAAGTCCAGTCTGACGTATATTATGACTAACAGAAACAATAGACACAACGCGCCCACGACCAGCAGCGGCTCCCGCAGCATCAGCAGACGCGGGAATGTATACTTCAACCTGAAACTCTGGATATGATTCTCCACCAGATTCTTTCCAGTCACGGACACCACCGGACGTCCAATGACGTCGAGGTACGTGTAGTGCAAAGAATCTGTCAAGCGAGTCGCGGGATACGGTAACTCGAGCTGTATACTGTGCGCCCCCTCCGGCAGAATGATCTTGAGGATTATTTCGTCCACGATCATGTCGTCGAAGATGTGATCCACCAGTCTCATCTCCAGGGTGTAGTCGTCTCCGGAATGAAACAGATACTCGTAACTGGGCACGCTGTACCCGATCGTGTAGCGAGTCTTCCAGCCTCCAAACAGCGGAAATCTCGGCCGCAGATTCAACTCTACCGAGTCCTTCTTGATGCGAGTGTGCGACGTGGAGATGTTACCGATCTCGTCCCTGTAATAGATGTCAGAAGCAGCCGCCGGGAGGATAGTGTCGAAGCTCTGGATGCTGGCCTGTCCGGACTTGGATTCACGAGCGTACTCGTAACGAGAGAAGGAACCCTTCAACAAAGCACCGGTGTGCAAGAGATCAATGTGCTCCTCGACAGCTATATTACCCCAATGAGAGAGCTCGATGGTTCTCTCGAGCTTGGTCACCGTAAGGAACTTGTTGTTATTCTCAAAGTGCACCACCAACTCCTCGTAGGCGAAAGGCGGTTGCTTCTCGAACGGTCCATAAGCTATCGCCGAGCCAGTCTGGGAGACAGGTTTGATCTTGGTGTAGCTCTCAATGTTGCGAGACGGCAACGCCACGTAAGTCGTCTGTTTAGTTACGGCATAAGGCAAATAGGCGTACGCATTTCCCGTGTACTTGACCAGCTGTTTCTCCTGTTGGGCGATCTGCTTAGGATGCGGTACCAGCTCGTGAGTGAGGATCGTCTCCACCTCTATGGTGAGAGTGCGACGAGGTGCCAGATGACTGGCCAGCTCGATGGAGTAGAAGGCCTTGTCGACCTCGGCCGTCTTGATCGGCGTAACCTTGAGCTCCAGTTTACCGGGTTCCACGTGTGCAGCTATGTAACTGAGGGACTTCCTCTGCGCGCCGTCCAGGCAGAAGAGGAAGCGCTGGATGGCGCGATCCTTGCTGTTGTTGTCCAGGATCACGCGAGTGGTGATTTTGGTCAGCTGGGATTGCAAATCGATGTGCCGCTCGACATTTCTGACAACCAGGTCCGGGTCCACGAGGTCGGTGGCGTGCACTAGAGTGTACGCACAGAGCGCGAGGACGCATATCAACGCGCCCGCGCGAGTACGAGACATCTTCGGCGTCCTCAGGAACGGGGTCTACGGGATTGCGGATACTGACAGTGGTGACACGCGCGCTCTTGTCGCTACCGGCGTGCGCGAGTACGTGACATAGACGTGGCGTTTACCTATGGCAGTTCGTAGACATGTAGCGATGTAAGAGATAGACGTGGCCGATGACCAGCGAGGCTAACCTCCGTCCGCGTTTTCAACGCGAATTGAAATTGTGTTCAAGAATGGATCTGTCACCTTTGTAACATTACATTCCTTCCTCTCCTGTGGCTTTTGGCTCTCTCGTTCTTCCTTCGACCTCAGATAAATTTAGGCAGAGTCATGATTGTTAACTTAATGATTATTTCGTTGAATATCATCGATAATGTCATCGTTATTAGTTGACAAATTGACCAACCACAGCTACTCCTTCGAAGAATAGAATAACCGTGATTGGTCAATCTTAGAGTCACGGATGTATTAAAATAGAAAAGAATGAGATATTTTATCCGAGAATGAATCGAAAGCAAATGTGTGATTGGTGGATTCAAAGATAAAAGCCAATCACATTCAATTACTATTTAACCACTCAATGAACGTGTCTTTGGATCCATTCGCTCTTGCAATAAGCATAGAAATGGATTATTTATTTTCCTCGTATGTTATACTTATGGACCAATAAATTTTCTCATCAATTTACGCGCTCCGCAAATTTCCTTCGCGAGAATCCGTTTCCCGCAAGCCAGCCGTCAGTTGCGAAGGCGCCTTGGGAAATCGCGTATCGCGTTGCGGCATAAAATCCTCGCGCGATTGGCTACGCGGCGGGATGCGCGGAGCGCGGCGGCCAATCGGCGAGCGGATCGATCGCGGTAGCGCGCGGGGATTCGCGGAGCGAAGCGGCGTGGGGGCGGAGACAGGCGAGAAGAGGTGGCGTTCATTGTTGCGGCCGAGAGTTTGGCGGGTTAACACGACGACGATTGGCCGGTCTAGCCCTTTCGTAGTCAATGCCCGCCGCGAGCCGTCCGCTGGAGAGTGTCGGTCCGATTTTTCCCACGGAAAACACCACTTCCCGTAGGTCCATCGTCATTGTACGCATCGTCGTAGCGGCGCAGTAGGAAGTCCCACGGAATCCGCACTTTAAGAGCAGGGTGAGTTCATCTACGCCGGCTCTCTCTTCCTCGCGACGGCTCGCGCCGTCGCCGGAGAGCGAGAGCGGCCCTCTTTCTGCCGCGGGGGGACCGTGCGCCGCAAATCCCGGCACGTGGTCCCATCGCCTTCCTCGCGCCTGGGTCCCGTCCGCGCTCCGAGCGCGATTCGCGCGCCGCGAAACGCATCCTCTGCCGCGTGTCGCGTAGAGAGATACGCGAGGCGAGCCCGAACGAGACGAGGGCGACCGCGATGCCGTCGGCCTCGTCGTCGTCGCTGCCGTCGACGTCGTTGACGGCCAACGGCATCGCGGTCGCCATCGCCTACGCGCGATCTTTCCTCTTGCTCGGCGCAAAAAAAGCGCAGCGCGCGCGCGGCGTCACTCACGGATGCCATCTTCACGTCGCGCGGCGTACGTATCGCGTATACGCGCATGTACGTACATACGTGCGTATACGAGCACACATACATACGCCGGCGGAAAATGGAGTAGGGGTCCCGGAGGGGATGGCGGGGGGAGGAGCGCGGGGTGACGAAGACGAAAAGAGAGAGAGAGAGATCGAGCGAGCGAGCGGATCGAGGAGCCACGTTGTAGTACGGCGCCGCGAAAACCCGGAGGAGCATCGTCGTCGAGGAGAGCGAGTACGGTAAAGAAAGAGATCCGACGTCGCCGATCATCGTCGTCGACGTCGTCGACGACGATGACGGCGACGAGGCGCGACGAGTGCGTGATTTTCACGTCGCGCATCCGACGCGGTTGGCCTCGTGTCCGATGCTCCTTCGTCCAACTTCCTATCCCGTCATCGTCGTCGGTCGACCTCGCGGGGCACGTGGGCGCCGCGTTTCCTCCGTCTCGAGCGTTTCCCAGCCGTTTGGCGCGGGTCGAGAAAGGCGAAAAGGACCTCCTTTCCCGGGAGAGAGAGACGACGCGAGAGGGATGCCATTTTATCAACGCGTTTCGCGTGCGCGTCGCTTCGATCCGGCGCCATGAGTCGAGCGCGAGCCCGCGGCCTGTCGACGCTATCCGGCCGGCGCTTCCTGCGAGCCGCGGCTCGCAGGAAGCGCCGGCCTCCTCGCCGATAAAGTGCACATTCACCTGCGTGTTCTACCCTCCTGCCCCCTTCCTCCGCCCGTTCGCGCCTCGCTCGCTCGCCCGCGCGCGCCTTCAGGAGACATCTGTGTGCGAGGCGCGCGAGCGCGCCGCACGGGATGCGCTTTAGATATGGCAGATCTGCGTGATCCGCGAATCGCTCTCGAGATGCACCCGGTTACGGAGTACGTCAAATTTACCTTTTTTTTTTTTCCTTCTTTTTTCCCTGCGATTATATAATATTGGAATTTGAATAGCGATGCATTTGGATTTGGAATTTCCCCGGTGTAATAAATAACAAGTTTGAGAACTAGTAAGTGTGAAGTGCGATACATTCCTTCTCCGTCTCGTCTGGGTAAAATTGTAAAATTATTTTTCATGTTTATTTTGTGACGTAGAACAGATGCGAGATACATACGTGCAATTAAACAGGTATACGATAAGAGATTATTGCAAGGATATTTGAAAGTACTCAGAGATTACTGGTGACGTAGCAAATGTCATTGATAGATTATAGGAGAAATATATGAGAATTGAATAATTTTTGTTAGGTGTAATTGTGTATGTTTGATTGCAGATTTGTAAAAGATGAGTTCGAGTGCGTGTTACAAATGTAACCGTATGGGTCACTTTGCACGGGAGTGCCCACAAGGCGGAGGTGGAGGCAGAGGAGATCGTGGACGCGACAGAGACGGCGGCTTTGGACGCGGCCGAGAGAAGTGCTTCAAATGCAATCAATTTGGACACTTTGCACGCGAGTGCAAAGAGGATCAGGACCTTTGCTATCGTTGCAATGGTGTTGGACACATTGCTAAAGACTGTCAACAGGTCAGTATGTTGTTGCGACTCGAGCTGTAGCTACTTCGAGTTACCTGCAGCGGTTTTTCGACGTGGTAGTCTGTGGATGGATCCTCGCGATCAGAGTTGGCGTAGCGCACCGCGCTACGACATAGAAGCCATATGAGACAATTGCATGATGTTTTTTCCGACAGGGACCGGAGTTGAGTTGTTACAATTGCAACAAGACTGGTCACATGGCGCGCAGCTGCCCGGAGGGCGGCAACGATTCCGGCCGCTTTGCGATGCAGAGCTGCTATAATTGCAACAAGACGGGCCATATCGCCCGCAACTGCACCGAGGCCGGTGGCAAGACTTGCTACATCTGCGGCAAAACCGGTCACATAAGCCGCGAATGCGATCAAGATGACAGGAAGTAGGAGACAACCGGAATCCGTGCCGCTCGCTTAACGATAACGATAAGCCGTTTACCATCGCGCGCGCCACTACCGGGAATTGTAGCTAGGTAGGGATGATGCGGACGTATGTTTCGTTGACTCATACAATTCGCAGAGGACGCGTGTCGCCGACGTCGTCATCGTCGCCGCTGTAAGCGTCGCCGTTGTCGTCGTCATCGTCATCGTAATCGTTCGGATTGCCACCATATACCGTGCTCCCAATTCCCGGAGGCCAGCCCTAGCCCTCCTCGTCCTTTATTCCCAAATCTCCTTCCCCTCTCTGCCCACCGTTGTTCTCTTCGCAAGGATTTTTTTTCTTAATGATGTCTTTAAGTTTTTATTGCTGTTACACCGACATACATCAACACATATACATTGTATTGCTACGTGTGAATGAGCGCAGGGTTCATCTCCTACGACACATTTAACATTTACATGATACACACTTTCTACACAAAGCATACATATACACACCTATATAATAATATTATGAACATTCGATTGGATTAGAATGTAGAGACATGAGTCCTCTGTCCCCTGACCTTCGAACTGTCTCGTATGCGCATTGTTTTCCGATGCAAGATGTATGGATCTTCGGGGAACTCCGACAACAGTTAGTCTCGCGATATTCGATGCGTATCTTCGACGATTTTTACGCAATTCAAGTATAATATGCGCAAGATTTTCTCTTTTACGCGTTTCCTCGCATTTGTTCGAACCAAGCAAATTTTACGAAACGACTAATATGACGAACACATGAGAAAAGAAAAGAAAAGAGTAGACTGATACTCGGCGCTCGGGTAGATCAAGAGGAATATTTTGTTTTTCTTTTTTTTTCTTTTTTTTACATTGACACGGTTTACGAACAAGTAGTCACACAAGAAGGCACAGGCTCACGTCGTAACAGTTTTCGCATCCACGCATCTTGTATTCTCCGGTCCTCCCTCTCGAACTCTCTAGCCGACACTCATAAATCGACAAAAGAAGGAAAGGAAAAATGAATTCGGAAAGCGAAAGCGAGAAATGGAAGAAGCGAGAACACATGCCGGCCCTGAATGCATAAAAATAAGATTTAGTAACGCTAATTTTTAATGTGTAAGGATGTAATGAGGATTCTCGCCGAGCTGTTACTATATGTACGTCATTTTTGCGTTTTTATTTTCTTTTTTTTTTTTCATTTTTTTTCTTTTTTTTCGTTTTTTGTTTTATCACTTTTCTTTCATTATTTTCTTCCATATACCGGACTCGTCTAGTTCCGTGACAAAGCGATATATAGTTGTAGGATTGTCAGTGTTTACGGGTTTATATACAGTTATACCGGATCTTTTACTCGCCCACCCCGACTTCGACGAAGTAGGGCGAAAGAGAGAGAGAAGACGTGCGCTTTTCTCGCGCAGTTTCACCAAGCGTAAAGGGAACGAAACGCGATTTGCGATTTAATACCAGTATGACACGTTCGAAACGATTGCTACATCACGATATGTATGTGTATATATACATATAAACACGGTAGTCTGTACAAGTTGGTACATTTTGTACGTACAATCATATAATTGTTAATAACATAGACTCATATTGTTCATACTATCGCCGTTCATGGACATTCGCTGTTGATGAACATGTGACGAACAGAAGAGGAGCCCTTTCCTCCTTTCCGGAGGAGAGGGTGTACCAACCTTACTATATCCTTACATGTTGCTGAAAATACTTCGTTACTAGGTATATGTATATATATATGCGCATATGTGTATACATATATTTATGCATATGTGCAGGAGCTGTATTTTGTACTGTAAAAAGCTAGCTTATACTCTGGTCGTTGCTGGTGACTAATTCCGATGATACGATTCTTCTTTGTATTGCCATGAGAAAATTATATTTTTCATGTATAGAGAACATGTTGCTGAGGTCGATATATATACTTTCTTTTCCTATACGTAACTCATAAGTTATGTAGGAGCAAAATTTGTAGATACGGTCGAAAGAAACAAGGGGAAAATCTAAAAAAATTATCGCGATGGATTCGAGGGAAAAAAAAGACTATCCCCCTGCTGCGGGGATGACCACTTATATGACCACATATACTCTACGCGAGTACAAAGCGAGATTTTTCTTAAAAGAAAAAAAAAGAGACTCGTGCGCGCGAAATTATGTTAAAGAGAGAGAGATAGAGCCGCGACTCGTCCGATCGCGGCGCGCAGTGTTCATAAAGTAAAAATAAATAAAAAAAAAACGAAATTAGAATAAGAGACACACGATTAGATTCCCGACTACTTTTTCCAAACAATGCCGGACCACGTTTACAGTAGAGCGCGACACACGCGGTATCAATTCAATCATCCAAAAGCCGGGATATAGCGAGAGATTTTTGATTCAGATCCGAAGGACTGATGCGCGCGGATGCATCCAGTGGTTTTACCAGCAGCGACAATTGTGTATTAACGTTCAGAAGCCAGGCGTGCCTGACTATCTCGATGGAAGAAGAGACCCGGGCGGGTCCGTCGTCGCGGCCTGTCACGTGGGAGCGTCGACGGGGCGCTCGGGGAACGGGGGGGGTATTTCGTATAGTAAACCCAGGTGTCCTGCAACACACAATTTTATACACTTAACACACACTGTTCGGGACTTAATTAAAGCCGGATCTCATTGCGTAGTTTCGGTATGCTAGTGCTCACACGACTCGGAGAGGATCAGACAAATTGTACTTCGCGCTATTATCGGACTTCGCGGCCTCTGGTGCTATCGCCCCGGCGCACGGACCAAGTCCTCGGCGAGTGGACGTCGAAAGATTGGAATATCCTTCGCGTTTTATATTTAAGGATTTCTTATTTGGCAATTTAGAACCGGACGTTTAAATCAGGACGTTTGAATTCTCTCGATGGAATCGAAGACAACGATGTTTACGAAGTTGTTCCAATTTTTCGGATGCTTTTAAGTTAAGGCTTCCCAGAGGCGTTGCTTTTTTGTATTTGTCTGGCTGAGAATATTTGTAAGATTTAACGCGGTCGAGTACACATCACACACGAGTAAGAATAACAGTTCGAATGAGGTAGGATAAAATTGTGGTAAAATCGATTCCCTCCGTGACACAGTCTCCGGATTCGCTGGCGGCACCAGGGGTACGAACGAGAGCATATAATACGAGTAATTATTATAAAGAAAAAAAAAATACGAGTGCGATTAGGGCACCTGCGCTTTTGTCTCTGCTACAAGACTTACGTACGAATATTGTAAAGAATACGACTGTTACAGTGTATGAATTTAATTCGACCGGCGGCGCACGCCGGGTCCACGGCTCGACTTATATATTAAACTAATCTATTAATACTTAAAAAGAAAGGAAACGAGAGAGAGAGAGCGACAGAGAGAAAGAAAGAAGAAGACAAGGAGGATGAAGAGGAAGAAGAGGAAAAAAGAAAAAAAAATAAGCTGCAAAATAATAAAAAGGATTGTGGAGTATTTGAAGTTATGTTTTTAAACTGAATTTTTGAAATAGAATGTGTACGGAGAGGCAAAGAGGCTGCATCTTTTTTTTCTCTCTATTCCCCAAATTTATAAATTATTTTAAATTATTCCACACATTCGCATTCACCGATCACATGATTGATATTCAGAGGCGAATGTCGGATCGTGTCTCGATGATAGTAATCTTATCCTTTTCAATCCTCTGAATTTTTGTTAATTCTTTTCACCGGTCGCCCACTGGTGAATTCACGGTTTGCGATTTCAATGATCGCGATAACATATTAGTGTGTGATTGTTGACTTTGCATATGAAGGAGGATTATATAATCGCACCGATGCACGCATGCTCCGAAAGTTGGATCTACGCACTCTGCGTGTCATCGTGGATGAGTGATAAACTCTGTCAACGTTCATCTAACAATTGTCATATTTTTCTCACGGATTTAAAGGTCGCGGTTATAATAATGTACTATTGTGTGAAAAAATATTCTCATGCGAGATTATAAATGATTTTATCAACAATAATTTGCTAAATTAGTAGGCTAAATGATAAGGTAACGTGAATTTTAAATGAAATTACTTATGCAGAGATTTTTGCAATATCGTGGAATAAATTATAAAAGAAAAAAATGCTCTAAAATAAGGTATCCGTAAAAAAAATATCTAAAACATTCAACAGCTGTTAATTAAACGTGCATTCTTTCTTATTATTTGCCAATAATACTTTCCAATCGCATATATTTTTCACGCTTATCGCGAAAGGAATCTGCAAATTAATGAACAAGTATAAAAAAAAAATCGAATGGACAGTCGAACGAACGGGAATATTCGAGCGGGAATAAATAATTGCCCGGGGCATCGAAGCGTAAGCGTTGATAAGAAAAAGAAACTCATTTCGATAAGCGCGCGAACAAAAGGGGAGGCGATAAAAAAAATAAATTTTTCTGCCGAGAAAGAGAGAGAAAATCTCGACCTTCGTGCTGTCGCGCGTGGACAAAAGGAATACCGAAACGGGTTAAAGGACCGAACCGGACGCCGCGAACGCGCATCCGGTTGCGTTCGCGTGATTCCCCCCCTCGCCCGGTCCGTCCGCGCCTCCCCCTGATTGGCCTGTCGCGCCGCGTCTGTCAAAATCGGCGAGTGGCTCGCGACGGTGGTTCTCGCGTCGCGGGTAGGATGTGAAGAGGAGGAGGAAGAGAACCGGCCTGGTCGCGCGCGTCCCGCCGAAGCGAGGAGGTAGCTACACGAGACGTGACGTGACGGTGACGTGACGTGACGGGACGAGACGACGCGTTGATTCGCGGGGGAAGAAGCGAACACGACGCGCCTGATCGACGATTACCGAAGGATGCGTCGGGCGATCGGCGTCCATTTGTCCCGATAACGACGACGTGGTGCTGGAGGTGGGTGACGAGGTGAAGGAGGAGGAAGAGAGTGACAGCAACATCGCGAGCACTGCCGTCGTCGTCGTCGTCGTTTATCATCGTCGTCAGCGATGGCCGCCACTGCCGTCGACGAGGTCGTCCTCGAGGAGCTGAGAACCGAGATCGAACGGCTGTCGCGCGAGCTCGACTTGGCCTCCACCGAGAAAATACAATCGGCGCAATACGGACTCGCGCTGCTCGAGGAGAAGTCGGCCCTGCAGCAGCGATGCAACGACTTCGAGGCCCTCTACGAAAACACGAAGCACGAGCTGGAAATCACGCAGGAGGTTAGTACGAGTTCCGGACTTTTCCCTCGACACGCCCGATCACGCGAGAGGGAGAAAGAGCGAGAAAGGAGAAAATTTATTCTGTCCTTGCAACAATTTTCCCGAGGGCGGTGATTAAGCGTAATAGGACAAATAAGGAATGCGAGCGAGCTTAGTAGAGTAAAGCTTTAGTCACCAGTAATTGCGAAATGGAATATCTATTTTTGTCTACAACTGTCTTCATTTCACGTGCACTGAATGAATACATATGTCAAAAAAATGCATGCGCTATAGAATAACTCATTCAGTGCATCTACGTCAGACAATCAATGTACGATAACAATATTCAGTTCCTTGATAAGTTCCATTCTTAAGAAGATATATGTTTGCAATTAAATCTATTGTAATTCAAAAAAGTAAATTTTTACAAGATTTTAATCAATTATTCTCATTATTTTTATCATACTCTCGATAATAATCATATATAAAAATATATAGTCATTCTTAATATAAAATATATGTGTTGTTATTTCAGGCCCTCGCAAAGTTCCAGACAACTACAAAGATAACTGCAAAGACTGGCATCGAACAAGAAGAGAGTCTTCTTAGTGAGAGTGCCGCTCGGGAAACATCTCTGCAATTGCAGATTATTGAATTGGAAAACGAAACAAAACAGGTTTATATCAGTCATATAGTCAATTATCGATTTGTAGAAAATAAGATTGTCGTTTTAAAATGTTATAAATTGTCTTTAGTTACGTCATGAGTTGGAACGAGTGGAAGCGGAACGCGACCACGCGCTGCAGGAACGCGAGGAGGTCGGCAAAGATCACCAGCAAGCAGAGACGGAACGCAAATCGTTACGAACGAAATTACGGGACTGCAGGTTCCGCGAGACTCGTCTGCTTCAGGATTACTCCGAATTGGAGGACGAAAATATCTCCCTGCAGAAGCAAGTGTCGGGTTTGCGATCCAGTCAGGTAGAATTTGAGGGTGCCAAACATGAAATTCGAAGACTCACGGAGGAGGTCGAGCTACTAAACAGCCAAGTGGAAGAACTGACAAACTTGAAGAAGATAGCGGAGAAGCAGATGGAAGAAGCGTTGGAGTCTCTACAGGCGGAGCGCGAGGCCAAGTACGCCCTGAAAAAAGAATTAGATCAGAGAATCAATAGCGAATCAATCTACAATCTCAGCAACCTCGCGCTTTCCATCCGAGGTATCACGGAGGATCAGACGATATGCAGCGATGGCGAAGACGATTCGCCTGCGCTGCGTAGAATCGAGGCGGATCTAAAGACGCAAGAACCAGGCACGTCTGCGACCGACAAGCAGGTCGATCTATTCTCCGAGATTCATTTGAACGAATTGAAGAAATTGGAAAAGCAATTGGAACTCGCGGAGACCGAGAAAGCTCATTTAACGCAAAACCTACGCGAGTCGCAGTACGCAGTCGAGAAGAGCCAGGCGGAATTGCAATCGTTCGTTGCACGAATAGTGCAGCTGGCAGCGCATGTGCAATCGTTACATCATCTTCACTCAAAGTTGCCGGAGGAACAGAGCGAAGAAGCAACATTGGATAAACTCAATCAGGTATATTTGCATGTCTAATAAGTTTTTTAATTTTATGATATATCAAGAAAATAATTAAAAATAACATTCACTTGACAAATATTATAATAGTGACACTTTCTATTTGGGACAGGCTATTGTACAATATCATCAATGGAGCACCATGTCCGCTCGCGAAGTTAACCAGTTGCAGAAAGATCTGGCAGAATTGGAGAACGGTTTAACCGTATCCGATTCCACGCAACAGCTAAGAACAGAGCTGACAAATTTGAGAAACAAGGTACGCATTTATCTCAATGTTATATATTTAAAAGAAATTATATAACAGCATTGTCGTAAAACTTGTGGTTAAGAGGAAAGATGTAAGTTAACAGACTATGCTATAAGATATAATGAAAAATGAGAGAGAAAGAACGCAAGAGTTTGCTCTAATGGTAAGAATATAAATATGTGCAATACTGATACTGGTGCAATCATACGTACAAAACTTAGACTTTGAATAGAAATTATGGCGTTTCAGATACCCGAGTCAGAGAAGAGCCTTCGAGAAAAGGTTGGATTACGTGTGATCCTTTTGACGTATTTACCAGATATTTCAATAACAATTTGTCTTGTTGGCTCCTCTAATTGATCCGTACAATGAATACTTGCTTCTCAATGTCCTAACAGCTCGATATATACATATATCGCTTTCCATCTCTCATACTTCTTCGTATATTTAACCGTACACATTTTCGAAGCTACTGACGATTTCACCATCATTCCATTGAATGTAGATCCATGTTTGAGAATTGCATCATTTTCTTCGAGCGCCCATGGCTCTCGCATTTAGTCTCACGCATGGATCGACGCATCAAGCGCGTTTAAACCAAAGATGTCATTGCTCGAAAGAAATGACGTACGGATCTGCTATGCACCGTGGCTTTTGAGATAGAATATGCTTAGAAACGAGAATTCGGAATCGATCACTCTCTTCTTTTTATACGTAAACTTCGTGCGCATCTAACGTAGCATGTCGATCGTGAAATTCGCCCAGCTTGTCTTTGCACGATATTCGAAGAGAAAAAGAAATCAGATATCTACAAACGTATTGAGCATTCGCGCAAAATATCTCTGCTATTACTTGCAGAATTTACAAACGCGAAACGTAAACTAATTCATCCGAATTTTTTGCGAATTTCATCTCGCGAATAAATTTCCGATAGACGCGCAGTATCAAGTAAAAACTGCACTTAACGCATTTATTGCGACTGATCTCGCGCTTTCGTATGCATGCTTGATATTTCCTCATCCTTCGTTTCAGCTCTTGGATACGGAACAAAGGAGCATGCAGCTCGAATCGGACGTATCCACCTTGTCAAAACTTACCGCGGAAGCGGGCGGTTTCCTCGATTCTGCTCAGAACAATTTGCAGAACCTATCCGACGAGCTCGCACAGCTCTATCATCACGTGTGTACCGTTAACGGCGAGACTCCCTCGAGAGTGGTGTTGGATCACGAGAAATCGGAGATTGTGCCCGAAAAGGAAGAGGAGAACGGTAAGATGGATTGGTGTCGAACTCTATTCAAGACCGACATCAAGATTAAAGATCTAGAAAGTCTCAGCAAATCAAAAGAAATTGCAAAGCACATAGAGACTGCGATGGACCAAATAAAATATCTTAGAAGCGCTGTCGAACACACAATCGAATTGTCCAAAGTTAAGGGAATGCAGCCCACCATCTGCAATGTTTGCGAAAGTAAGTATATTCCTAAACTTTGCTAAACAAAAGCTTGTTCTTTATTTTGTTGTTTAAAAAAATATAAAATACGTTTCTCTTCTTATTAGTAAATCAATTTCTAATTTTTTTTAATTGAAAATTGAATTTTTCTTCCCAGCTTCTGTCAATGAGAATAAGGCGGAAGTAGCAGATCTTCAAGAACAAGTCATTAGATTAAAGGCCTTGTTGTCCGCTAAACGGGAGCAGGTTGCTACCTTAAGAACAGTGCTTAAATCAAATAAAAATACGGCAGAAGTAGCGTTAACGAATCTAAAGAGCAAATACGAAAACGAGAAGAGTATCGTTAATGAGACAATGCTCAAATTAAGGAATGAGCTTAGAATGTTGAAGGAAAATGCCGCGACATTTTCGAGTGAGTATTTAACTTTTTCTGTTTTTGTTGTACAAGTAGAAATTTGATTTTAAAAAATATTTCTTAAAGAAATTACATTAAGATAGAATTATATAGATTAGATGACATTTGCTATGTGAATCTTTGCTAAACCTATCCCTTTTAAAAAATTATTCTACAAAACCTATACTTTATTAAATTCAAATTCAATAATGTAACTTTTTTTTCTATTTTGTTCCGCATGCTAACATCCTACTAACACATCCATTACAAATTGTTTGCTATTAGCCTTAATAAATGCAGTGTTGTTAATTATGTGGAGTACCGCAATCGACTTTTCGAACGCTCTGAGTCTATGCCATAATTATTGTATTGCCTAAAAAAATCAACAAATGTAATATCGTCAAATGTAATATTTCTCTCTAAAATGACTAGTCAAGCGCTCGTTTAAAAAAAGACGTAATGTATAAACTGTCGATGTGTACCTGATCTCTTATTTGTGTATATTTCTTTTCTAACATTTCATGATTACATGTACATCATATTTATATATAATATTTGTACATAATAATGGCTTTCAATTATTATATATAAAGCTTAATATCCAATCTCCCAAAATTGAACACGCTTGCAATCCTTTAATATGCATATCTCTATCTCGTCCGCTTATCTCTACATTGTGTTAAACCCCGCTCTAACCATACGCTCTCCAGGTCTGCGTGCAATGTTTGCTGCACGCTGCGAAGAATACGTGACGCAAGTGGATGAGCTTCAGCGGCAGCTTGCCGTGGCAGAGGACGATCGGAAGACGCTAAACCAATTGCTGCGGTTAGCAGTGCAACAGAAGCTCGGTCTCACCATGAAGCTGGAGGAACTCGAAGTCGATCGAGAACTGCGGAATACCAGAAGACACGCCGCCGGCGCAAACGGACGCGGTAGACCGCGACTGTCGCAACAGACGAACCGTCCCCACTTAGGCAGAGATTTCTTCTAGAAAATGATGAAGATGTGGAGTAAGATATTCTGAGAGAAGCGAGAATTTTGAAAACCTTTTCGAATTTTTCTACCGCTCGTTGTTGGGGCCGAAGGATTGTGTGTAGTGAGTATACAATTGACTTCTCCTTTGTTAGAGTGACTTCCCACAGTCACGGTACATGTACATCACAATAATCGTTGCTGCAAATTTTGTGAAACGTATTTTTACAAAGAGATGGACGCGACACATGATAAGTGTTTGAGAAAAAAAAAGGAAATGATGACGCCGTCCTCACTAGATACGGGAGAGAATCGTGCTCGGTAAACGGGAAATAAATTGGCTACGTTTTGAAGGTTTCGAAATGTTCAGTTTCATACTCTACGAATTTTGCTCCATATCATAGAGTCTCTTTAGGGAGTCTCTGCCTTGTGTTACCACTATTGTTAGAAGAATTTAAGGAGTGTAGGATATACACTTTCGTTGAGGGTGTCCGCGGGTCGCGGAGTCGCCGCGTGCGAGTTTAATGCGAATTCTACGTTCTATGATACGCGTTTAGCTGCGTTAAACTGTCAAGTGCATTAGATTAACGCGAACGATCCATTCTCGATCGTTTTGTACAGAGAAAAAGCTCTACATTTTAAAACTTTGATTTTTGTGTTCTATCATTGCTTTAGCACACTTATTTATTACGTACTCTAACATATTCATTATCGCCTCGACAATTTAGAGGATATTCTGTTGATGGTTGGTATATAGCATGATAATCATCTCCGGAACGTTTCGTCAAGGACAAAAACGTATATTAAAAGGAGAAGACGCACGAAAGAAATATCGTATATCGTTTGTAGTTAGTGCGGAAAACGGCAAATTTTACATTACATACCACATAGAGACAATATTAATATCTCGCGCATGTGACCGGTAGAGTTTATAATCAAAGTAGCGAAATGGAATATCGTAGTAGCAAGTAGATTTGAAAATTTTAAACGATAAAAAAACCAATAGGGGAACCTATCTTCCAAGTAGGATACCTCAGGTCACATCTCCGCCACAGAAATGACACTCAAATGCATCAATAGATCTATCCACGCCCTCTTATTTGGTAATTAATCTTTTTTTATGCACGAACCGTTTCTTATTCGATCGGATCATAGAAATATTTCGATATGTTGGAAATGGAACAACCGATGCTATCTTCTATGTATTTTGGAAAATAATCAAAGAACTACATATGAATACTAGAAAAGTAATATTATAAAAAATATCAGTTGTTGTTGTGTCTATTAAAAAAATTACGTTAAAGAAATTGAGCTTTTAAATCTTAGACTCATGATTTTAGACAGCTTCATCCACGACGATTTTCTTCTACTTTCGAGGCACGGGGTCGATTGTTTCAGTTCCAAGATATATTACAAATAATTATCTTTTATCGTTGAAGATCGGTATACGTTTTCACAATCTCGTTGTTAGCTATAGAATATGCAATGTACGGTTCCTCGTTCTTTTGTTAACAATTTTATTGTAGTAAATGCGGCCTAAACGGGCTTTAAATCAATTGATTTCTCGGCAGCTTGTTGAATTTACACTTCTTATCGTGTTTTTTACTGGAGTTAAGTATTACACCTAATTATTGTATTCGAAGCAGCTATTCGATACGAGTTTTATCATATTATATTTATTCCTATGTATACATTTTTTATTGTAACGTAAAGCGTTTGTATGCACTTTTAATAGTTCGTTGACGCATAATAATCGCTGATCTCGACGGGGTCACGAAAAGGTTCTTTATTTTATAAAAGGACGCACGCATATAGCTCCGATTACTAGTTTTTATTGATTATCGCTGTCTTGTCACTTTTGTGAAAGTATAAGTATCGTGATAAAATTGTGCTCAGTGCATTTCGCAGAATGCTCTTTTACTTTGACATTTTCCGTAAATATGTCCGTACGTTCTCTTCTAGTTATACATAGATTTATAATTTATAGTCCGCCGTTGCGTAAAGCAGTCATTCCAATTAAAACACTCGATTATGTAACTGCCCGATATATTGTGAATCTTCTGAGCAGTGTCGATATTAGTATTTTATACATATATTAACTATTTTATATATATATATTTTTTACATATATATTTAATAGTTGATTATCATAATTGTTAAGATGTGCACATAATTGAGATACATTGAACGTAATGGAGCATTCTGTGCAAATAAATTTGCACATGTATTTATAACTGAATGCTATCATGAATTGGCTTCAATCAAATCTGTTATCATGGCTATTGCTATATATTATTATTACTATTTATTATTATTATTGCTATCTTTTATTATTAGTGCAATTGTATATTTATTGTCCTAATCATTGCCTGTCGACTTCGCGATAAGACAAATACCTAAAGAGAATTTATCGAGCGTTTATTAATTAATTATCACTATTATAATATATCTATATCGTGTCGTCTTTATATCGCGCGTCACCTGTGTCTAAGACGTGTATCACGAATGAAGATCCTCATTGATGAAGATTTCTCATTTTATACAATTTAACGTTGACGATATTCGATGTTGATATTCGGAATAAAGCATTTTTTCAGATTTTTATTTTCTCTATGATTTATTTCCTATATTGACTTTCTAATTTCTCGCCCGTCTTAAATACTTTTTTAAAATCATAATACGCGTATTAGCAATAATTATTAATTTATTTTTTATTGTTAATCGATTGCAAACATCTAACAAACTTTTATTAAATTATAATAAATCGACTGACTTTGTTGAACGATTCTTATCTCTTTCTAGAAAGAGATTTTAGGATTAATTATATGATACATAGACAAGAAAATAAAAAAAACACTTATTTTAGCGCTTAACGTTTTAATATAGATTGACGCAATTGATCCTAAATAATTCTATGTAATTGTATAATTATTCTGAAATATTATGTAATTCTCCAAGAGAGTAAAAGGAAAGAGAATTTTGCAAGATTCGTATACTTAGGCGCTAGACACAGGTCAGGCTAATTTATATCCATAAACCGAGCCAATCTCAGACCACCGTCCCTTCCCTTCTTGTCACGCATCATCGTCGGGAATGAGTCGGACAAAAAAATTCTTCCTTTTCTCGAGAAACTGTCCTCACACTATTTTTCACGAGAAATTTCGTCCTCGACTCAACCGTCCGCGCTACATCGCGACTAGAGACGTTAGTATCAGAGAGAGGTATTAGAAAACTTATAAATCTATATTGTAATGTTACAATATAAAATATAATTGTAAGAAATTCGGAGATTGCGCATGATTATTCGTGTTTAATAGCTATGTGATATCAGGAGTTAAATTTTTAGAAACAGATGTCTTATCAATAAGATCTGTATCTAAGTTTCTTGTTATATCTATTTAGCTATATGTTAAATATTTTGCTTGTTAATTGATTTTTGAAAGAAATGCAATAACGAAGCACTGTCTCCGAAGGATCGTTAAAAAATTGATGAATGTGAGCGTCCAGTCGCGGTAGCGCATAGCTTTGACAATTTTTACCAAAAATAATTCTGTCCTTTCGAAGGAGTCCGATATTAAGGCTCTTCTGTACATTTAGCGTCCTCCATAAAGTTCCTCTATGTCGTAAAAGGTTGCATATCAGCACCGTGAATTTCTATTTGCTCATTTATTCTTCCAAATTTTTCTTCGGAAAAAAGACAATTATGTTTCTCTTGAATTCTTTACTTTTTTTACTATAAATATAAATATAAAAAAGATAATAAAAAAGGGCATTGAAATTATTTATAGATTTATAGATAATTTCAATGCCTGGCTAAAATGTGTGTCTTTTATAAAATCTCTTTGTGTCATCATTTTATATTCTTTGAGAAGGATTGAAGAAAATACGCAACCTGTGTACCGAATTATTTATCAAGATCGTGTTTAAGACTATAAACTAAAGAAAGAGAGAGAAACAGAACGAATTTGAGATCAACCGAATTAAGTAATTTAGAGAGAAAACCGAAAAGAAGAGGCGCATTGTAAACAATAATATCAGAATCTGCTCGTTGAAGATTGGTAAAAGGATTGGAAAGGCGAACAGATTTATGCTCAAGGCTTCCACAAAAGTTCTCATTGCGTCCCGTTCGGCGAATCTCCCGATGATGGTGCGTTTAGATCACGATACGTGAGACTAGGAGTAATAAAAGAGAAAGAGAGAAAAAATGTAAGGCTCGCAAATAAACGAGTCCAACTAGCTGTAACGTGGTGTAGACTAAGAGATTAATCGACTGCGTGATGTGCGCTGAAACTATTTCTCTAGGAGGAGAACTCTGAGAGAGAAATCTCTTGATGTAATGACGTGCACGAGACATCCCGACGTTGGATGTATCGCACTTAAATCGGGTCCATGTTGCACTTGTGCGAAATATTTTTACACATCATTTTTACACTCATTGACAGAAATATGTATCTCTTGGCAATAATTATCGATGAGCAAGCTGGACAGCGTTATTAAATAGCATTTTGCGAATTTGTGAATTGTCACCAACCGATATTATGTGTATTGTTTCTTGTATATAGCATTATTGTGGTAAGATATTTTAATTGTGGTATACAGAAAACTATAAAAATCATTTCTCTGATTTACAAGATACGTTTCGAACAATGTTCACAAATTTGCAGAATGACGTAACGTTTCAGTTATTAAGAATCTCTTTTTTTCAATGAAATTTTGCTCCCAGAAATTACTTACTATTTTGTTATATTATCCTAATCATAGACGATTTAAATGTTAATTATATTCTAAGGTATAAAATAGCTCAATTAATTTGATACATTCGAGTTATAGGTATAAATTTAACAATCTTAATATAATAATGTTTATGTATTTATGATAAGTATTTTATTTAACGTATATTCATAGTGTTCAGTATTTGATGTTGCATTTCGATCAGTTAGTAGGGAGATGAAATGAATTATTGATGAATTTTTTTTTAAGAAAATAATGCTATTTTTTATTGAGAGAAAAAAAATATTTTTATCGCGAACTTGGTTTTGCCTTATACTTGATCATGGACCCAGAACATTGTATGTTGTATATATTGTAAATGCACTCTAGCGTTACGACATCAATAATACATTATATGAAAACGTACCAAATTTCGCAGAGATTAGCGAAAACGATTTATACATACATACATATATATATTATGCAAAGGTCTCAACGAGCATTATATTTTCTCTGTAGCTATTATAGCACATTAATTGTTATCGTAAGGAGAAAAAAATTCGGAACCAATTATTTATAGCATCTAAATGATTTTTGTCCCGTGTTTGACAAATAATTGGAACGGAGACGTTTTAAATTAGATCGAATGTAGCAGTTAAGTAGATGTTCAGTAATATTATTTACAGGTAAAAAATTGAAAAAAAAATTGAAAAAGAGAGAGACAAAGGAAGAGTTGCGTATTCAAGCCACATTTGTGGTACCTGGAGTTGACGTTATTAAATAGTACATTATACGTAGTGGAGATTCTTTTTGTAACATAAAATGAAATATAATCGTTTGTAACATGATTAATTTTCCCTTATTATTATCATAATTATCTATCTATCTATCTCCTACATCCTTTATTATTATTGTAATTATTTATATAAGAATATATACGTGTATGTTTATATATGTGCTTTGAAATTATTTATTTAATTTGAGGGAAAACTTTAAAATATAGCTCTTGAAGATATTAAATTGGAAAAGAAGACATTTCTGATGCCTTCTTTTTCAATTTAATATCTTCAAGATGCATATATCGTGTCTAAATATTTATGTATCACAATTGATAGTTTTCAGATTAATCGGCAACTTTATAACAAATAGTTTGACTACTATTTCGTTAAAATAAAATATACAGAATTAACAGAATATAATTATTTTTTTATCGACGGTGGTAATTGATCGCTACTTTATCTCTGATAGAGGATAAGGTTTCTGCATATATTTTTGATCCTCTTCGTCTAGCGTGCCATAACCTTTGAATGTATGGTTGATTTTGTATATAATACTCAGAAAATAATTTGAGGCAAATAAATTCATAAGAAAAAGTACAATAGTAAATGTGCTAGATCACTTTTTTACAAAGTCTAGTGATAAATGTGCTAAAAAAGACTCTAAAAAGAGAAAACAATTACAGTTACTCATGGTTGCATATCTTGTTTCTGTTTATATAATTAAAATGATCACTGTAATTGAAAGACTTGAATGAATAAATGTCCAACACACACAAAGAGAAATTGCTAATTAATCTATATATAATATAGTGTAATTTTTATATCATTATTTAAATAAGAAAATTGTACAATATTAGTTTGCATCATGACATTTGTCGAATATATACAAGCTTTATCCGACAATCCTTATTTTGGTGCTGGCTTTGGTCTTTTTGGACTTGGGGCTGGAGCTGCTTTGTTAAGAAAAGGAGCACAGTTTGGAGCTGTGCTATTCAGGTATTGTATCATAAATATTATTAAATTTTCTTTAAATCATATTATTGTTTTTTATTTACAGACGGCATTATATGATCACTCTGGAAGTGCCATGTCGTGATAAAAGCTATCAGTGGCTTCTGCAATGGATCACACATAAAGGTGCAAGAAAGACGCAACATCTCTCTGTGGAAACTAGCTTTGAACTGAAAGAAACTGGTCACGTGAAAACCAAATATGATTTTATTCCAAGTATAGGAACTCATTTCTTCAGGTAAGAGAATATTTCCAGATACCTCTTATATTTTTGTCCTTTATAAAATATACTATGAAAAATATTAATCATGATTTTATCTCGTGCATTAAAATCTTTCTAATTTTTTCTCATTTTTGTAGATATAAGGGGAATTGGATAAAGGTTGAAAGAACAAGGGAGCAACAGACTTTAGATCTACACATGGGTATACCATGGGAAACTGTACAGTTGACAGCATTTGGCAAAGACAAAAGCATATACTTTAGTATTCTTGAAGAAGGTTGAGTTCTTGCAAAATATATTTACAGATACATTATATAACAAACCAAGAAATCAGAAGCAATTCTTCATTCGTATAGCCAGACAGATGGCTTTGAAAGAGCACGAGGGAAAAACTATAATGTACACTGCCATGGGAAGTGAGTGGCGGCAGTTTGGACATGCCAAGAAGAAGAGACCATTGGAATCTGTCGTTTTGGATACCGGCGTTTCTGAGAGAATAATAAGCGATTGTCGGGAATTCATTGATAATCCATCATGGTACAGTGAAAGAGGTATTCAGAATTAATTCTAACATTTCCTGCTTTGATTGCAAGTGCCTGATATATTAATAAGATTAAAAATTAAAGATTAAAAATTAATATGGTTTCTTTTCATATTACTTTTTTCTGATAAAAGTCAATCTTTTTAGGAATTCCGTATCGCCGAGGTTATTTGTTACATGGACCTCCAGGATGTGGAAAGTCTTCATACATTACCGCGCTAGCCGGGGAATTAGAACGCGGTATATGCGTTTTAAATTTATCTGAGAGAGGTCTAACGGATGACAGATTAAATCACTTATTAGCAGTGGCTCCACAGCAGACTATTATCCTGCTTGAGGATATTGATGCTGCTTTTAGCAGCAGAGAAGAATCTAAGGAAGGTATATATATATATATATATATATATATATATATATATATATATATATATATATATTGCTCCTGAAAAAACAAAATATTGTAACACAAACAAATAATTATTTATTATCATCATTTTGATATATATTTGTTTAATATTTTAGTTAAAGCAGCATATGATGGTCTCAATAGAGTAACATTTAGCGGTTTATTAAACTGCTTGGATGGTGTAGCTTCCACAGAAGCTAGAATATTATTTATGACAACTAATTATTTAGACAGATTAGATCCTGCACTTATTAGGCCAGGCAGAGTAGATGTCAAAGAATACATTGGTATATATGTAGAAATATGTAGGAAATATATTAAGAAAACTTATTAAGAAATTCGTAATCACGTTATCACATTTTTTTAGGTTGGTGTAGCATAAATCAAATTGAACAAATGTTTTTACGATTTTACAAGGAACCAGGTAAGGATCCTGATGAGCTTGCAAAAAAATTTGCGGAGAACGTTATGTCTTTTAAAAGAAATGTTAGTCCAGCTCAGATTCAGGGATACTTTATGTTCCATAAAAATAATCCCGAAGCGGTCATAAATAACGTTACTCAAATTTGGGAACTCACATGATAAAAAAATGAAAACTGTAGCTATATTTCAAAGTAAAGGTACATATTAACTAAGGTATATGTGGATTTTTTAATATCCCCTTTCTGTACAAAGATACTTTATTATTCATAAAGACCAGCAAAGTACAGTATTCAGAGTAGATAGTAATCATTTCTTTTTCTTTTATGAAACAAATATAAAATGAATAAAGATCTCAATAAGAACATTATTGGAAATATTTCTGTTAACTTTATAGTATTTATTGTGATGTGTTACAAAATTAATAGAAATATTTTCAACAAGCTAGATTGTGTGATGTGTATGTGTGTGTATGTCACGCATTGTGAAAAACGCGATATATATTTACTTATAAAATGTGAATGTACATAATACTCTTTTGTATGTTATTGTAAAATGAAAATGAGAACATTTGAAATATCAGACAAAATCTTTCTACAATATCTCGTGTGTAACTTTCTCTAGTGCACTACTTTGCATTTGTACCACCAGTAATTGTATATGGACGAACTATATGAATACTGCTTTGTAAAAAAAGAGAAAAAATAAAAAAATATAAGTATCGTAACAAAAAACTTTCTTGCAATACAAATAATTCTTAGTCAGATGTTACTTGTCAGAAAAGCTGCAAGCATACTTGTATAGAAAAAACAGTCTTGTAATAATATACACATATAATGGCAACACTATATTTATTATTAAAAAAAGTGATGTACGTAGTATATAAATATAAGTAGAAAAGGCAGTTTATATGTTAAATGTAAGTATTTTGGCAGCCTGTTTAAAGTTGATTTACTATTCACTTTTCTGCCTGGAACATGCCAATTTGTACTATAATTTCAAAGCAGATTCATATATATAATAATTAAAAATATATATCAGAATATACACATTTTATGTAAAATCATCTATGAATACTCTTACAAGAAAAAAAATAGCACATATCGAAAATAGATCTATTGCTGAGAATTTGCTAAAGTTTCTTGGGCTTTCTATTCTCTATGCCAGTTATTGATAATTCATCCATAAAATCTTTTTACTGAATTTGATATTCAGTATTCTCTCTCTTCCTCTCTATCAAACCATTAAAAATAACATAAAATACTCTTAATTTAATGAAGTCTAATCGTATATTGTGTATAAATATTGATTTTTAATATATATAATACGATTTTGTTTATGACTCCATATTTAAAGAGACGAGATATATCATAGCAAAATAAACGTCGTGATGTACGTTTCAGCTATTCTACACGATTCTATATGTATTCTATATGTACATGTCCTATCATCTTTATGCTGATTTACTTAAATTGATTTAAATGCACTGCATGTTACCATAAAAATTCTTAAGTTAATATAATCTCTCTCTCTCTCTCTTTTCTCTCACAGATATAACAATAAACTCATCAAACTTTCCTCATCCACATATACAGATTGTATCTTCTAATATTGCATTTATGCACAAGTTAAACCGTGCAAAAAAATTTCTAATATAAAATTGACAGGATTTGTGTATCACTGAGTCTTAAATATTTTCAGTTTCTTTTTTTATAAAAACAAAATGTTGCAGAATTCTAGATCGATAAAAGCGAAATTTTGCTCAAATGCACATTTCCTTTTCGTTCAAATCTTCTGCACGTGATTTAGATTGTCATTACTGATATTTAAAAACTCCAAATATATGGCTCATAATTTAAAGGATCTGTTTGCTCCATATGACTATTACCGCCGACCATGCACGATGGATAGGCGACACCGGAATTACTTGACACGGGCGGCGGAACTATGGTCGGTGCTAGTCTACAGTCCGGTCTTTGCGGCATTATCGAACCCATCGGCTGCTGTTGCATTGGTTGCGGCGCCGGTGGTGGTGGTGGTGGCGGAGGTAGTTGCGGCAGTGCGGTAATATTATGCACTGTTGTCATTATGTTAGGGCCTGAAGTGTAATTCACTGAAAAAGAGTGATTTTAAAGATAATTATGTCGCATTATATCATTAATAACATTTCGATGACGCTTACTGTTTCCAGGATTATGGAATGGCAATACGGTTTGTTCCGGTATCATGTTCGCTGGGGGTGGAGCCGGTTTTAATGTCGACGATTCATCGTTTTTCTTTTTCCGCGCGATGCGTTTCTGACTATTGTTCGTTATCTGATCGCGTTTTTTATTACCCGTACTCTTCTTTTTCTTTTCACCGGGCATTTTCGGTTTGTTAGGGCGATTACCACTCGGTTGCCACAAGTGAACAGTGTGAACTGCATTTCCTTCTCTAAAAAAAATATATCACATGTAATTATATTTTATTTTTTGTATTAAAAAAATGTTGGAAAATTATAGAAAAATGATAAATTTTCTAGAATTTAATCTATATTCTATAATCTATCTTTCTATAGACAAAAATTTTTGAAAGAATATTTCTGGGGAATATATAGCTTCGCGATTAAGATAAATATCATAATTCACACTCTAACCCTTGCTTTTTGCCTAATTTCCAGCTGTGTATCCCAGCTTTGTGAAGTCTCTCTCTAATTGTATCCACGCTGCATTTTAGACCTAGCGCAGGTGCTACGTATTTAGCGGCGGTGAGAGGATGCTGAGTCGCCATCGCGACGATGGCATCATCTTGTTCCTTTGTAGTAATTCGACGTCGGCCTTTTCGTTCCTTCGTCTGCACATTGCCTTCCTTATGCCAACGTTCTAACCATCTTTTAACAGTACGTTCCTGATTAATTCAAAATCACGTCCATGTAAATCTCCTGTATTATTTTTTTCCAGTTTGTAATACAACTTTTATATCTATTCGTATAATATACGATAGATGTCAGAGATCTATGATATAATTTAATATAGAATGCACAAGATTACCGATTTACATACCGATCTATCAATCGCTAGAGCAATGGACAGAGTTGATAGTCCGGCTTCAGACATTCCAATCATGCGATTCCTAATTTCCACGCTAGTCTCCAATGTCCCTTTTGCTTTGCCACCTTTTTTCTTCTTCTTTTGTCGTTCTGATTTTCCATTTTCTCTTGATGATTCCTTGTTCTGCGAGGGCTCACCGGATGATTGGCTATTCTCGTTAGAACTACAAGAACTATCTGATCCTATGTTCGTGTTTGTTTGCTCCGGGCTAGATATGCCAGAGTGCAAGCGTTGTTGTTGAATCTGATGTTCTACTGGCAGTTGTTGCTGATCGAGATTATGATGATGAGTATTCTGAATAGTCTGCTGATGCGATTGATCTTGCAATCGGGACTGCTCTTGTACATGCTGAGCTTGTTGCGCATGATGCTGTTGTTCCTGCTGTGTATGCAGCTCTTGCAATTGCTGCTGTTGCGGCAGAGAGTGCTCATGGGATATCGGTTGTCCCTATGAGCAATACATATGAATAATTTTTGATACAATCTATTTTGCTGTATAATATACATTATATTTATATTTTCTAAAATAAGCTAAGAAACAAACCTGTGGATAATGGTGACTGCCTTGTACTAGATCTAATGGCCAATTTTGTACCATATTCAACCCCGGATGTTGATAGATGGATTGCGATTGTTGTGCCAGACCCAAGGCATTGCCAAATTCTGTCTGACTTGTTGGTAGAGGCTGCGCAGACGTTTGCATTTCAGTGGCTTGAGGTGCGGGAGGTGGTGGAGGAAGATTTTGCTGAGGAAATACGAATTCCTGCTGTTGCTGTTGCTGCTGTTCGTTATTTTGGTCTTGTTTTAGAGTCTCAGATATTGCACCATTGTCAACATATGCTTCTAAAAATTTAATCTTTTTCGATGGATTCTTCTTTTTAGTGGTATTATTTTTCTCGGACTTGCTCAAGTCCTTAGAAGTTTTCTTCTTGCCCAATTGGGTACCGGTTGGTCGCCATACCGCCTGCTGAATCGCTGCACCGTCTGCATCACTATTGATAGAGGTAATATACCATTAGACTAAAAGAGATATATTAGTAAAATTATATATAATTAAGTATAAACAATATTTACTTTTTTAATTTTAGATATATATTTTGATATTTTATTTATAAATAAATTTGGATTAAAAAAATGAATAATATTACATACTTTTGACTGTTAAATATAAATACTATAATTTATACAATAATAGTGTTAAGGCTAAAGAATCAAAATAAAATTTATTCAATCTGTTTCTAATGTATATTTCTACATATACTATTCTATATTTTGTGATCACAAAATAATATGAAAGAACCTTACAAGTTAATCAAAATCTTGTATTTAAAAATATAAACCTCAATGGAATCCTTTGCATATATTTGCGCGAAGGACTCCAATTATGAATTCCAGCTTTATGCAGCCTTTCTCTCACAGTATCCACAGAACAGGTGAGGCCTAGCGCTGGAAGCACAGCTTTTGCTGCTGTTATAGGTGTTTGAGTTGCTAGACGAACAATCGCTTCATCCTGCTCCGAAGTAGTGGCTCTCTTACGACCGCAACGTTCCCGTGTCTCCACTGTACCTTCCTTGTCAAATCTATTCAACCATCTCTTTACCGTACGTTGCTGCAACACAATCATATTATAATAAAATGAGTGTTATGATCTCACTGGACTGAATAACACAGAGTACACGCAAATTAAAGTCTCATAGTCTTAATTTTGGAAATAAAAATCTATTTAATACGCAGAGCAGGTACTCCAATCATTAATAAGAATTGTTAAACTGGATGAAAAGCAAGATATACATACCGAGCAATTGATCGCGGCGGCAATCTCTCGGAGACCCAGACCGGCCTCGTACATTCCCACCATCCGATTCCTCAACTCGGGGGTGGTCTCATGCACGCCTCTCGTCTTGCCCATCTCTGATCTTAAAAGGCTTGGAGATTTAAATCGCACGCGACGTGTGACGTACGCAAAAGAACACGAACCACGTGACGAGGGGATGATCCAACGTCGCTTTCGAATTCCCTTCAAGACGCGAGTCCGAGCTCCCGGTCACTCGCGAGCATCCTGGACGAGAACGACCCGCGCTAGGGGGATATTCTCGGGTCGCGTCAAGAACCGCGGCAGCAGCCAGGTTCAATTCAACGGCGAACGCCGCCGCTTCCTGATCGCCGACATTGTCGACCAGCGTCGTCCGTGTCCCGGTCGCGCTACAAGTTCTTAAAGCTCACGATGCACCGCAGCCACGTCGCCGGTTCTCCTCCTCGTCCAGACCTCGAGACCTCGAGATGCGCCCCCCGCCCCGCGCCACAACAAGAAACACCAGCCGCGGTCAATACAACTGCCACCGCCGTCCGCGCTGCCTATGAGTACAGTCAGTCGAGATTCTTTTGTCCCCGCTCGACGCGTCTCCCGGTCGCAACCGCGACGCTAAGGGCGTCGCGACGTCCAGGCGTACGCGAGGAACGCGACGTCGACGTGTCGTCCACCCGGATCACGCGAGGACCTCTGCCTTTCAATTATTCCGCGAGCTGGAAATGTCACGAGGATCGGCCAGCGCGCTGTCAATTGCAATCCCGCGGACTGTACCAAGTCCATCCTTGGTACAGTCCGCGGAGATCGATTCGCAACAGACGGATTATCATTTTTTCGCGAGGTTCTTGGTGAAATTACATGATGACTCGCGACAGGCGTTTTTAATGATCAATCTCCCTAATTCTAGGTGAATCGTCGAGTTGAACATTGTTAGTCAATACTTGATCCGACGACAATAGACAATATTTATTCCGCGGACTATACCGAGCGGGAAAAGTACAGTCGGTGGAAGGGTTATGTTGCAAAGCGCGATGGAGATTCTCCATCGAAATGTCGTGTCAATCGACTCGCGATTTGCGACATGAATATGATATATTTGTTCTACGCAATGTCGCCCAAATATTTTTGATTACATTTGATTGAAGCGTCGATCGTCGAGATGCCTGCAATCGCATCGTTGCGTTCAATGGTCAATAATTTCGCGGGCGACTGTACCAGAGAAGTGAGGTTATTCGGGGTCCGCGATCGGGCGCGCTCGCCCACCTTCGCCGGAATTGTATTGACCCACAAAGCGCGTCCCTCTCGCGCGCGGCCCACGTGTCAGCTGCGTTTTTACGAAACGTGCATCAGCGGCACGTGAAGACATCCAATAGATCTGTCAATTCTCGGCTCCTTCGCGCATTCTCACAATTCTTGTATTTAGCATGAAATAAACATATATAATTACATATATATTAAATTATCATATTATTTTTTGAATATAAATATAGCTTGAATTGAATATAAATTTGTAGGAGTATCTCTTTTTTGTAGATCACATCTTTTTTTTCTGCAAATGCAACACGCATTATTCTTGAAAAAAAGCATTATAAAGATAAATTTCTTATCAATAAGCATGGAATAAAATAATTATTTTTTTCCATAATTCTATATTCACAATTAATGAATAAATTGTAACAAATTAAATTTGATAACTTCACATTTTGATATTTTAGATTTTCATACGATTAATTATTAATTGTATATCTTTAATTAAACCATTTTACTTTAATTTTGCCCATTTAAAAACATGAAACGATAAGAAACAAGAAAAAGAGTAACGCCATAATTAATCATACAAAATATATTTATTGATAAAACTATATTTCCTTGTACTGAGTCTTATTTTGTATATTTTTTTTCTTCTTGCGATATATTAAATATTTGTATCATTTTAATTATTATAGAAAACATAAAACAAACAAAGCGCTAATACAATGTGAATAGTAAAACAGCAATGATGAAGTTTTCTATGTGACAGAAACAGATTATATCGCTCATTTGTATATTTTATTTTCTTGCGAAATTTTATTAAATACTTATTTCATTTTAATTATAGAATACTATGAAACAGAGCGCTAAATACAATGATGATGTGAATAATAGAAATAGCAGTGATAAGTTCCCGATGTGACAGTAGAAACAGATTATGTCGGTCGGACAATGTTCAGTGGAATAAATGTAAAATTACATATAACTCCTTCCGACATTAACATTTCTTCATCTCCACAAGATGTATAAATTACATTGTTAAAATAACATTGTTATAAATTGACGTAAAATAATAATGTTATAGATTAAAAATGAAAATTCTGAATTTCTTTTTCTGAATTACTCGTCCAAATTCACTTGCTTTTACTAAACAATCCTTGTTTAATAACATTAATATTATGTTTAATATTATGTTTAATATTAATGTTTAAAATTAATGTACATATGTGACGCTCATAAATTAAAGATAAGATTTTTCCAAAATCCTTGGATAATAAATGGAAAAATTTCTTGAACGAAATGATTCGATACATAAAACTGCATAGATGAAACTCTGAGTCTGAGGAACAAGGAGGGAGAGAAGAGTCATATTTGTGTCGACATCGTATAGAAGAGAGATTATGTAGGGTCGGATCGCAAACTGGTAACATCCGCCAATCAAATCTGTCTATCTATGTGTGTGACCTGGCCTAGAATCGAAAGCTTCTATGCTGAGGAGACAGTAATTTATCTTCGCGATGAAAAGAGCGCGCTATATCGCATTTGGTATTACGCTATATAGGGCGTTTATTCCGAGGCATTGTTGATTCTATTCTATTTAACAATGCACGTCGTTGAAGAGAGAATCGCGTTCTTGTAATTAAAAATGCATGAATTTAATTCAACAAAGAGACCAATTATAAATCAACGATCATCAGACTCTCCCGACTGTTCAATCGTCATTGTTCAAATTTGCGCCGTTTTTTATCTCTCGCGCAAAGTGCATTTAACGTTGTGTAAATTTACAGTGACGTTTAATTAAATTTTCATATCGAAATTAATATCAAACAGATCCAGTATCGATTTGTATAGCGCGAGGGCGGCGGACGAGAATCAGAGAGAAGGAGAGCAGCTCGCGACCTGCTCTCGAATCACAGCTTCCAGAGGGGCGCGCAGCTTCCATCTCCGTCTCTCCCTCGGCCTCTGGGAACCTATACTTCATCCCGATCCCCGACCGACCATCCACATCTATCTCTCTCTTTCTCTCTCTCTCTTTTTCTCTCTTGTCCCCGACGTTCAGTCGGATCGCACCCTCGCCTCGCGCGCAGCGCGCACTTCGCACGTTCACGTCAGTCGACACGCGCCGGAAACGTCGTCGGCAAAGGGAGCACGCACCATCAGCAGCAGTAGCCAGTAAGGAGAAAGATCCGCGAAGTGATATAAGGACAAGAGGTTCGAGAGATATCAAGGATGAGGTTCCTCGCGGTCGCCATGGGTTTTCTCTTTCAAGCGTGGATCGTCTCATGCGGGGTACGTGCGAAACGGTGGTGGTGATCTGTCATCAAGATGTAACTTGGATCGAATTCGCGAATGAGGATTATATCCCCTCAAAAATAATCTAGTGCAAAAAACATATAAAGAGAAAATTAGAGCAAGTAATTGATGTAGAAAATTTATTGCCCGTTTAATTTTTATAAAGTCTTCTCTATATCGAAAAGTTAGAACTGAGACTATATCTCTGACAGGGATGAAGAAAGATAAAATTCTTTTTATAGCTATTGATCTTGGATGGCCAGGAATGAACCGCGCGTTCAACATCACGTACGATGTTTTCTTTGATGCTATTTTTCGTATTGAAGTAATTTTGTTTTTCTCACACTAAAGCCAAAGAAAATTCGAGTTCTTCGTCTAGCATGAAAATGTTTCAAATCAACAAGAGATAGCATCATCGTCTTCTTTTCTATTTTATTTTTTTCTATGAAAATCACGGAAAATAATTTTACTAGAACAATATTAAAATCATTATTAAAATAATTATAAAAATAATTAAATACTTACGATGGTGAAATTAAAGTAACAAAAAAAGAGATAATTAATTACATTTACAATGATGCTTTTTCCGCTAAGTGTGAAAAGACACTTATCATGACTCTACAACTTATTTCATAATTTTAACAACATTAATCTCGTCCATTTTACAGACGAGACCGAGCTTTGTTTCCGATCAGATGATCGCGACTGCGGCCAGTGTTGTAAATGCCTGCCAAACGCAAACGGGAGTTGCTACAGGTATTTCATTCAACGCGAGAGTTTGTTCACCTCCAACTTGAAACTATCGATCGGATCTCTCATTTAATCACGCGGCGGCGCATAAAATTGAATACACCCCTGTTGTTCTACCTGAAATTAAATAGGAAAATTTTTACAAAATTAATAGATGTTTCAATCGATTAATCATTTCACGTATCCACGATAGCCTTAAAGAATTTATGACGAAATGTGTGTATGAAATATATCAACAAGTGCATATTGAATCCTTCTTTCAGCCGACATAGAAGCGGTAAGAAACGGTCAATGGCCAGAAACACGTCAATTGAAGGTGAGTACGCCACAATTACATTTGAGTATAAACAAATCCCGATATTAATAATATATACAGCCGACGAAAATGTGTAAAATATGTAAAATGCCAAAGGGGATTATATCCGGTCTTTCTGATTTCCGCGCTGATTTCAGTGCTACATGTATTGTCTCTGGGAACAATTCGGTCTGGTCGATGACAAGAGAGAGCTAAGTCTGAACGGTATGCTGACATTCTTCCAAAGAATACCCGCCTACAGAGCTGAAGTCGAGAAGGCGATCAGCGAATGCAAGGGGATCGGTAAATATTTGGGTATCTGTGTTTTCTTTTTCGTTTGTCTCTTCGATCGATTGCGTGTGCTCGAAACTTATGAAATCGCGTTCAATCTTTTTTTTCGAAATAAATTTTAGTTTAATTATTTCAAAACTGAGAGATTCTTAAGTTAAGCTTGACAGCTCAAGAGATAGAATGTTGTTTCTAATGACACATTTCAACCGTAATTAAATTTAAAATGATCTAGAGAAAAACTATCAAACTAGTACATCTAGTTAGCTGATGTCGCAAGCCTCTTCAGTTTTGAAAATTTTTAATGTTCAATCAGTTCTATTAAATTTGTGAACTTTTTTTAAATTTAATATTATTAATTTTTTAATATTATTTAATATTAATAATAAAATTTTATTTGGATTGTTTAATTTCGATTACACACGATCCTTCGTATCGTATCTCGTAAAACGATTAATCGCCATTTTTTCGTTCGCAGCAAAGGGTGATAATTGCGAATACGCGTATATGTTCAACAAGTGTTACGCAGAATTGTCTCCGAGAGTAAGTGACTTTAAATCATATCAAATTGATCATATATTATACATATATTATTCGTTATCTCATGCGTGATTCATGTTTCAGACTTACTATCTATTTTAATGGATCGTGGGAGGACAATGGCAAACAAGAAGACCAAAAACAAAATGCTCAAAATACAATTTCGCCGAATGTGTGTTAAGACTTTTACGTTTAAATCACTTTCCATATAACTACTGTACGCGCCCTATTGAGTAAATCGTACATGATGTGTCGATGAAATAAAAAATTCAACGATCTAATCGATATATCCTGTATTTTCCTGTATATCCTGCATTTTTTTTACATCTTTTTACTACTCGCCGCAAAGCGCATGAATCGACTTTCCAAGAAAAGTAATTTAAAACATTCAAAAATTTTTCCAAAAATTGCATATAAAAATTCAATTAAACATAGATAATAAAAAATATTTAAAAAATACTTACACAAACAATATATGTAATTTATATAAAGTGTCCATTGGAATGTTTGGCAGATGTGATTGATATAAATTGATGGCGCTCTCGTTGATAAAACGGAGTTTGATACTGCGATAGTAGAACGTTCCAATTGCCAGTTGAGGTCATACTTGATGATCGAATGCAATGAAAGAAGAGGTCTATAACTGTAACATACTTGAAACATTCATTCATAAACGAGTCCCTTGACGATCGGGAATAGAAATAGCGCTGCGGCTTCAGCCAGGAGAAAAGCTCCGACACTGAGCAGGCAGGATGTGAATACTTTCCGATGATACTAGCAACACAAAAGAGAAAAAGAGAGATTATTATTGGATTACTAAAAAAAATCAAAATGAATTTTTTTTTATAAATAATTAATGGCTTTCGGACTGGTTAATCGCAAAATTCTTGTGGCAGTAAAATTGTATAAAACCAATATTGCATACGATCTCTCTTCTAACGCAAAGTTACACAACACACGGGATGCTCTTTGTGTGACTGTAATTAAAAGACACTTGATTTGAAATAGTATACAATATACGCTGATCTGGATGCCAGGCGTACATAATTTTGAGAAATACTGAAATTACTGACTCTCCACGGAACAACGTGAAAAGATAATTGTTAATTAGGAAACACTGGATATACTTTGACGATTCCTAAGTTAAAATTATATGTATGTTTACCGTCACGCATCTCGCTTGCGACTAACGTATTATGCAAAGTATATCGTAAATTTTTTCTGAAATTTTAAACAATTTCAAGCTTCTTTCTCTTTTGGGACTCTATTAAATTTCTTCGCCAAGAATCTATTAAGAATAAAGAACAAATTATTAATTATTTTATATAGAAATATTTTATATAGAAACTCCTAGTTCTTTGTAAAAAAAACTAATGAAAATATAATCTCAAGGTTGCATTTTAAAATATTTTTTCAGAAAAAAATTTATAATTAAATGTAAATAAATTTTTTTATTGTTTATAACATTTTCTCTCTGCATTTCCGATTCTTAGTTAATCTCTTTGTTGTTCGCGCAATTCGCCGGTAATTGATTTTTACAAAAGTATGTCTTTACCAGACAATTATTATCTCCCACCTAGTGCCCGCAGAATTCGTATAAATTCTCGATGATCCTGCACAACTGTGCACTAATAATTTTAGACGAGTGAGAATATTTTTGTCTAAATACGATTTAATTGTGCGCGAAATGAAAAAAATGGCGACAGAAAATTTAATACTTATTTGTGCCTTTTTAATTGTCACACAACTCGTCATAGTTCATTGTAATGAGGCAGTGAGTAAAAATCCAATTTTTAAATTTGTGAGATCCCTAAAAATCCTTAAAAATCTACCAGCATAAACAATAAAAGAAATTAATTATATATGTATAAATATCGAAAATTCAGAGAGAATAAATTTTATAAATGATAAAATGTCATAATTAAATTTCATATAAATAATAAAATTTAAATGTGAAATTGTTTTCTCTGAAAAAATAATTTAAAATGCAATTTTCACGATCGTTGAAAATAATATTTTTATAGAATATAGATTGGACTACTGTTCACGACGAATTGAGAAAATTAGCTGGAAATTTGCGTAAGAAATGTACCGGTGAAATTAAGGGTATAACGGATGGTGAGTTCTAAAAATATTATATTTAATTATCATTATTTAATAAATGATCTTGCTAGATATTTGTTAATAAGAGAAATGACGGAAAAATTATTTAATATTTATCGAAAATGATTTGCTCCATCTTCTTTTGGAATCTATTATCTACATTTAATTTTTTTACGTGAAATTATCTGAAAATATTAACAATTTTAATCGTAGAGATGCTAGAGGAAGCAGAATTAGGTAACTTTTCTGAAGGCGATAACAAATTAGCATGTTATTTCAAGTGCGTGATGGACAAGGGAGGAGTGGTAAAACAAATTTTTTACAAAATATAAACGTAATAATACAGGTTGAATCGTAATTTTGATTTTTATGATTTAGATGAAAAAGGATGGCAAGATCAACTATAAACTCTTGAGCAAAATGATGCCGGCAGCATACAGACATATTGGACAAGAAATGCTTGACGAATGCCGCAATATAAGCAAGTATCAGTATTTATCGAGACAAAAACGTTGATGTTAACATGCAAATTACATTGCATTGTAGAAAACTTAAAAAATTATTTTATATAATTATTGTATATAATTACTGCATATAATATAGTATATACTATATTATACATAGAGAATTGTTTACTATAAAGAATAAGATATATGTAAAATATCTTATTCTTCGTGAATAGAGCATTATATAATAGCCATCAAAACGAATCTCTCTCATTGCATTAAATAATAATGCATCATTTAAATGATTAAATTATATCTTATGTAATCATCTTTGTAATTTTTAGGTGGTGATGACAAGTGTGACGTAGCTCTCAACTTCAACAAATGCATGTATAGGGCGAATCCTGTGGTAAGTAAGAAAATATAATGCACAGTAATTTCTACTACTATGTGTTATTATATCTCATTGCATTTCTTTTCAGGCGTACTTTGTCATCTAAATATTGATTATATAAGTAGAAGTAATCCCCTCCTCCCCAAGATTATCATTCGTAAATTTAAGAAAATAAAGTACTGAAAAATCCTTTGTTCTCTATTCTTCGTTCTTACATTAATTTGCGAGATAAAGTAAAATACTTGTTTAACAGAGTAAGAATCAAACATTACTCATTCCATTAAAGTAAGAATTAAAGTAAGAACGTTTAATAATTTCTAGATTGTATTATACAACAGCAACCTTTATATATACATATATTTTATATTACTTAATAATGCTAACAATTTTTACGTCTCTCGATATACGTAATACGATATAAGGCGATCGTAATTATCTTTATGGATGCTTGCATTTTAATATCTAACATTAAAATACTTTTCTTTTATCTTTGATCATGAAACATCGCTGTTTTAATCCGTCTTTATATAAATACTAACAGTTCTAAATACACCAAGTACCGAAATCTTTTCTTCATGATAGGGACACATACACAATTGTGATAAATATTATCAGCAAACACATTTTTGAGTCATATAAAACACAAATGAGGTACAGAGGATCTTTAAATCTTTGATAATTCCCTTTTTTGAGATCATCAAGAATGATTCTCAATATAAAAGTAATAGGATTGATAATATCATCGATTTATGTCTTTCGCGGCTTTGCCTTCCTCTTGTTGATATTCATTATTTGTTCAACTATAATATCATCCGCTCTGGGATCAATGGGAATAGCTTGAACGGGTGCTCTGGAACTCGGCACAGGCTTGGAGCGTCTTTCGAGCATTGCGTTCAACCAAGTCCACAATTTCTCGCGATTAATGAATGCTAATCCAACCAGCATAATGAATGGCAGTGCAACCACTGAAGTTTGATTCATGTCACTTTGATCGACCTTCCGCTCCGCATTGAACGTCAGCTTGACGTACTTAAACGACGAGTTTGCTTCAAAGTAGACCGGAATAGTTCGATATTTATGCACGGCTTGCGATAGCGATGACTCCAATTGCACAAAGTATTTTCTGCCATCAGCTTGCAACGGTGGGAAGTGCACGAGGAAACCGGCATTGTAATAACCGGCGTTCTTACCAGCGGATTGTTGCACATCCAATTTCGAGATATGCACCGGCGAATCTGGAGCATCCTCCCGACACAGTTTTACCTTAATCGTGCGATAGTGTTCCGGCTGAGTAGACGTGACGTGCACCGAGACGTCCGTACGCGAGATCGGATGAAAAGCAATCAGTCGTAGACCGCGAATATCCTCCTTCATCGGCTGCACTAGTTGAGAACTAGGACTCGTACGTTGTATATGAGCGTTACTTTCTACATTCGGTTTCAAACGGAAGGCGTAGACGCACTAAAATTATTACGAAAATTATCATGCAATGTTCATCAAATAATTAAAGTTGTTACGAAAAATAAATGTAAATAAATAAATTATTTACCATGGGCTGGAGACCGCGGATTCTAAAGTTGCCATTCTCCTCGGTCGTGGCCTCTTCTTGGAGATTGGAACAGTTTCCTTGACCTTGAACTTCGACTAATAGACCAACTTCCGGTTCTCCGTTCAAGGATGTTACAGAGCCATAAGCGCTATACGCGACTCGATTACCGAAAAGGTTCACTTTAACAGTCGCTCCTTCAACAACGTTGATCATCTTCGATGGCGGATCAAAACGATACTCTTTCATCATAGGTCGAAGATAGTACTCGCCCGGAGATAGCGAATTAAATATGAACTTTCCGTCCTCGCCGGTCATACTGTTCTTGCGATAACTTTGACCACCGGACAAAGAAAGCAGCACACCCTGTGTAAATATAGAATTAGTTATATATTTTTTTATTAGTTATATATTTTTTTTGTTAATTTGATAATCTTCGAAAATACCTGCAATGAAGAGCTGTCAGCATGGTCAGAAACTTGCACGATAATTTCGGCCAACTTGTGCGCTAAAAACACTCCCTTAGCATCAGGTCCAGTGATCACAAAACCTTCCTTTTCAGCTGTAACACTATATATACACATATATAGTATAGAAAATTATTATATAATTAGTTAATAACATTAGTTAATAGAAAAATAATATATATATATATATATATATATATATATTTCTCTTGACATACCTATATTCGATTTTTCCATCTAAAGGACCGATACTATAAGTACCGTCCTTCTGTGTAACTAATGTGTGAATCGGAGATTCCTTATCTTTTCCAAATATTTGAATTGTTACACCTTCCAATGGTGGAGATATTTTTCCAGCTATAATCTGAATAATATTTTTGCTTTAACTCATACATAAATCAATAATTATATCAATATATAATCAATATTTTTACCTTTCCTAAATCACCAATGAAATTTGCGATGTCATTATGACAATCATTCACGCCAAAAACTTTTAAAGATGGTGGATTGAATAACAAAATGTCAGATAGTGGAGTAATAGTGTACGTGTTATCCGTTTTCGCCTTAAACTCAAATTCGTATTTATATACGTTGTCTTTTTTTACAGGCTTCAGTGGATCAATCCTGTCCAAAAATAAATTAAATTAAATATAATAAAAATATGCACTCTATCCAAAATCAATGCACAATGATAATATTATATCAAATATAATAAAATAGAATAAGATATCTAAAAACAATTTATTAAAACATTCAAGGCAAATATTGGGCTACTTACGTAACACTATCGCCTGCATCTTCGATTTTTATTTTGAGATTACTTTGCGGACTCGTGCATATAATATTTCCTCTGTGAGTATGCTCGGTGGAATGTAGCAAGATCGGGGAAAGATTACTGGTGTCCCAAATGTAAGAAGATTTATCGTATACATGGCAACCTTTCGGGACGAAAGTGTATGCGCCAGATTTAGGCACACAATGTCTTGTACTGCCTTTGCTCAGAGGCAGAGTGATCAGTTTTGTATTATTTGGTTCGGAGTATTCAACGGTGGTGTCGTGAGAAGAAATGAAGGTGATGGAGAAGCCGGTTTGTTTGAAAGGCGGCACTTCCGCACGTTCCGATGTTATCGCAATTCTGTAACTGGGATTTTCCCAGCAAAACACGTCGTTGTCGATCAAGACTTCGTAGTGACCGGGTAATACATCCGTGAACTGATATTGACCATCTGCATATTGGAAAACGACTTTACAAACAAGATAGATAATATCATATCCAAAAAAAAGTTATTACTGCAATAACAAATATGTATGTACAATAGATATTAGTTATTTAAAATCGCAAGCTCAAAACAAATTCAATTTTGAATTGAACAGATTACTTCTATTTTACAAAATCATATTTGTTATTACAGCACAAATTATTACTGTTGAAAAAAAATTTATGATAATTAAAGAGGATGTTTATTAGCTTACCTTTAGCTTGTACCGTCTTTATTGTAACTCCATCAAGTATTTTTAATGTGACAGAAGCTTGACTGCAATCTGTCTGTGACAAACAATTTACTGTTCCCGTTAATGTAGCCTTTAATTGCAAAAAGTTTACATCAGTAATTGGTTGAGATGTTACATCAATCATTTGTTGCAGTGGATAGAATCTAGAAAAAAAATAATAAAGCTTTTATATATAATCATAATTTTAATTAATATTATGATTTTATCAATTAATTTCATGCTTCTTATATTTATTTTTACTCACTGTAAGCCCTTAGTTTTCTCTTCTGTGCTCACAATTACGCTCAACTGATATTTATCTGGGGCAAGATACACAGAATATTCTCCCGTCTTCTCATCGGTATTAAGTTCTTTGTAGAAAGTAGCAGCTGTATTCTGAACAGATAACTTGCGAAAGTGCAAAGTCCCTTTTGCGGAGAGAGTTACTTTTCCCGAGACTTTATATGCCGAGGGTACCAATACCGGAAACTCAGGCGAAGTCGGTGAGATTTTAACCGTTATCTCGCTAAATTGTACGTTTGCTATAAAGAATAAAAAAGTTATCGACTTATAATGTGTTATTTTAATGTGTTATCTTGCTTAAAAGTTTCGATATGAAATTTTACACACCAGACTCCGCTCTGAGTATATACTGGCCAGTTTTCATGTTATCCAATACATATTTTCCATTTTTATCCGTGACTGCGATCTCTTTTTTGCGACAAGAATATCTTTGCTCCAGGCAAAGCATCACCATTCGTAGAACTACGAACAAGACCGCCGCCGACCGTAAAGCCAGTCACTTTAAACTCTTGAGCGAGGATTACACTGTTGTGACTAACTTTAAAAGATAATTCCGATGGTTGAACGTCGAATTTTGTCTGGGCGCCGGCGTAGTGCGGTACAAGTTTGTAATCGCCAGGTGACACACTGGGAAATATAAATCTACCACTATTGTCTGAAACTACATGACAAAGCGGTTTTTTGGACTCGAAATCTTTAGCTATCGGGGTAGTCTCACACTTCTCCGCAAAACCACTCTATTGTAGGAGAAAAAATGAATTTATATAATTCTTGTTAATAAAATACATCTCAAAATTTAAATTTGGAAATATTACAAAAATGATGAAAAAAAACCAAAACAAATCTTACCCCAAAAAGAATGAAAGATACACCAGCCACTGGATCATTTTCACTGCTGACTTTGCCATTCACATCGTATCCAGATACCACCAGACTACCATCCACAACTTCTGTATTTCCCTCTTGTACAATCACTTCAACTTTATTTTTGTTTATTATCCAGCTAATAAAAATAATTAATATTACATTCTCAATTTGTAACCTTTGATTTAAAATTAATTATCATTTGTTATATACTTACATAGAATGAGATGCAATGAGTATGTACTTTCCAGGTTGAATGGGAGTAAAATAAAATATGCCACCTTCTGCTGTTAGTGTTGATTTAATGGGAACATGTTTATCACTATCTGCATATAAGGAAATAGTAACATCCTTAGGACCAGAGTCAGTACCTAAACTAATTACCTAAAAAATATAAAACAATTCACATTAATTGAATAACTTTATATTTAATTTTTGATAGATTATCAAAAATATATACAATTATAAATTATTTATATCAATAGATTAATACTAAATTATTTAAATCAATAGATTAATATTAATATTTGTTGATCAGATATATTTTTATATTAATAACAGAAAGAGAAAAATAATAGTACTTACACGTCCTGTAATACCAAATCCTTTAAACGTAAAGTTAATATCTTGACTGCAGTCATCCGTAACACCATCTACATTCAATGTTACTTCTGTAGGCTCAAAACTCCAACCTCTAGGGGGATCTACCTAATGTATTAAAATATAGACAATATTTAAAAAATATCTTTTACAATATATAAATTCTAAATAATATTAATCAATTTATTTATATATTAATCAAAGGTAACAATATTGTATTCTTTCTGCAATATTGCAAGTCTCTCTTTCTACTCGAAACAAATATCATGCTATATATATATATAATAATTATTTTTGTACAATAAGAATGTTTTTTCTGTTTTATTTTACAAGCCTATCGGAACCTGGTTTCTAAATAATCTTCATATAACTATCGTGTCCAAAATGCTTAATCAATGTTGTTGTGCAACAGATGACGGTGCATCTTTCTAGGTTACCTTCAACGTGTATTCACCCTTGTCATATAGGGGTAGAAAGTAATATCCGGTATTGGGCGCGCACTCGGTCTGATCCTTCAAACTGCCAGCCTTCGTGTACCTGACGAGTTTATTTCATGAATCGGTGATCCAGTTAGTCGCACCGGGATAACCTCTTAAGAGATGAGGGGATACTTACAGTTTTACGTGCACCTTTGCAAAATCGATGTCGGCGTGACTTTTTAGAAAACCGCCGCATCCTAGAATATCTTGGCCGACAGAATTCACCGATAATGTCGCTAGATAAGCCAGGGAAAATATGATCTCTCGCCAATTCATGCCAGTCCGCTGCCGCATCGTTCGAGCTGTCTGCTTACGAGGTCAAGGTTCAAACGTCGAAAACTCCATCCGTTTTCGCGGAGCGAATTTAATAATCTAATTTTTAATCTAATTACGTAAAGTGACTCGAATCATTATCACGCCTTTGTAATTATTCGACACAAACGTGATGTTACAATTAAGTTACAACGCGCATGTGTAACTTTTCTAAACGAAACTACTAGCTTTTGGGCGCTTCTTTATGGAAGCTCTCGATTCGTCTCTTATCGCGGATCGTAGAATAAAATTACTGCTCGTTGATGTAGATATTTATTTGTAAACATTTTTGTAATATTTAAATATCTCATTCACAATTTAAAATGTATCTTGTAATGATGGAAATAATAGTTTTAGAGACTCGAAGCTGTGACGTCTAGAAACCTGCACTCCGGTTACGGCTCTGTTTGTTTACCATCGAATCATCACCGAGATACTTGCTGTTTGTTGCTTTATAATCGTACCAATATCGATATTTATGTGAGCAATGTGATTTTGTAGGAACTGATATTATAATTCAACTAAAAATCTCCTTGTGCCTGTAAGTGAAGAAAAAAAATCAACCAAAAAATACATTTGATTAATTAACTGATTCAATCCTTTTAAATTTCAGAATAGATATTCTACAGTCATAATGGTGAAAATAGCGCTGCAGATTACATGTAGACTCGATAACATTGAGGAACTGAGGCCATCGGGATCTGAGTTCAGATGGTGTCTAAAGTTCACTTGTTGCAACTGCGGAGAGACATCTGATAAGTGGAACTACGTCTCCTCGGACGACCCGGCACGTCCTGCAGTTCGAGGCAGTGGCGTCAATCACTTTGTGAGCAAATGCAAGCTCTGCTCCCGGGAGAACTCTATGACAATATTAGATGACTCCGTTCGGTGTTTCACCCAGGATGATCAAGGACAATTTAAGACAATTGTCATATTTGATTGTCGAGGAATAGAACCCTCCGACTTTTCCGCGAGGGAAGGATGGGTGGCCAAAGCTGTCGAAGGAGGTAAGGAGTTTGACGAGATAGATTTGAGCGAAGGTGAATGGGAAGACTACTGCGACAAGATCATGCAACCTGTTGGAATATACGAGATTAAGCACAAATTTGAGAGAATTAAGTAGACACATGTTTTGGATGTACAGCAAGTATGCATTTCTATTGCCTAAATTTTCTTTTGCGTGTCATCCTTGCACAGGGGCCATGCTAATCTTCTCTGTATCGTTTCAAAAAGTTTTTCTATTGCCTAAATTTTCTAAGAATCGCTTTCTTGTCACTCAATGAAATAAAATGACGTACCTAAAAGTGTAAATATGTAAAGATACATACAAAAATTACAATTTTCATACTTTTGGCATTTATTATGCATATATTATTAAAGTTATATATAATATATATAAAAAGTATATTAATATAAAATTATAACTTTGTTGGATTTCATTGAATTATGTTAATCTTTGAGCGTGGAGTCTGTATTTGTGATTTCCATCAATAGGCCTTTTCTGTATCTGCTCCTGTAATTAATAAATTAATATCAGAAAAATAATTATTCCAAATTTTATCAATCGTATGACAGATAATAATTTTGTTATATTGATTCTATAAAAAAATTGTATCTTGTTCATGCTTCTGTATCTATATGAATGCAAGCATATCACTAAAATGCACATTTATTTGAAATAGACAACTAATATAACATTCATATGTAAACAAACATAGCTTGCAATATATATTATAGGAACTAACAGTTTTTGAAGTAAAGATGTAATTTTTTTTATAAATTGAAATATTTTTTCTTTTTATATTATATAGAAAATACATTCTATTTGGTAATAATATTGTAGTGAAAGTACCTTTTATTTTCTTTTTTATCGAGGTAAAGAGTAAAAGCAGAACCAATCCAACGACACAATATAATTTATTCATAATCATATAAAAAAAAACCATTTTATTTCATAAATGGCTTAATACACAAGAAATGTTTGCCAACAATAATTCCATCTTTTCTCCAACTATGTTCTTCATACGGTTGCCGACATATACCCTGCGTAAATATTCGAATGACTAGCGTGTCACTTGTGGCAAAGGGCAACATTTGGAACCGTGTGGATTTTCACTGATTTTCACAGATTGACCCAGACAATAATTGCCTCTTCCAAACGCAAACTGTATTCTTGGAATGTCAATACGACCACATGAAACTCATCGAACTTATGACAACATGATATATTAATTTAGCTTACGATTATAAAAGTAAAGTATTACTTGGTTAAAAATTATGTTTCTCTTATATACAGTTTTTTCACGTATAAAATTCTCGAACAACTTTCCCCACTTAACGATAGTTAAGCCTATCGCGTTAAGACTCGTTCGAAGTAACTCCCGTAATTCGTCTTCACAATAAGCTAAATAAAAATCACGATGTTCGAATGGAAATCATCGTGATGTATGTACGAAAATGAATTACAAATTGCGATTCAGAAGAAATGGGGAGGAAAACAATATATGTGACTTCGTTTACTCGACGATTGCCTAATGCACTAATGCTACTGCCGCTATACTTGTCTAATTCTTTCATCATTTACTACGCTTTCTAATATCTAACACAAATAAATATATCGAGCGCGCGTCTTACAATGTCCATCGTTTTTCGGAGAATCTTTAACATATAAATCACATGTATAAGTAACCACTAAAAATTTTTAATCTAACAATCGATAACACTATCAGTCTATTCTCACAAAAATATCACTATGACCGAAAATATCGACGATACAACCAGAGTCTAAAATTACGAATCACAATTTAACAAATAAATAAAATAAACTTTTAAAACATTGCATTAAAATAAGTACATTCTTTGTTTGAAACTAAAACTCATCTGTTTGTATCCAAAAATATAATTTAAAAATATAATGTTTAGAAAAAAAAAAACAATATATATAGATACATAATACATAATAACATAAATTTGTTGTAAATGTTGGAATGCTGAAATATTTGACTCTGGCTCATATGGAAGATTTGTAATTCGCTTGACGTAATTCGAATAATTATTCTAGCAAATCCAGATCCTAAAAACGCTTTAACTGTGATCTAATATTACGAATGTGCATCGCTGCGTGCTTTTTGATCGGTTAAACAATTCTAATCTACTATCTAGCTAAGCTATCGTCTTTGGTATACTAATCTGAGGATGCTTATTATTCTATTTAGAGATAAATGCGTGATCATTCACTGGAGAAAATCTCGCTTTTGGGGATACAAATATCGCATAGAAATAGGAACATTATGAGTAATATGTGTAAGATAATTATGATATCTCTTTTGCAATGAGAACGATTATCTTCGTTCTCTTGTGTAAAAAATAAATGACATTTATAAGAATTTGACGTTTGAAAAATTGGCTTGAAGGGAGGATCGGTTTGACACAATTATGAAGGAAGAAAGCATAGTTTTTTATATATACGTATCACTGATATAATATATACGATGGAAAACTCCACTTAAGTTTGCTTCTTGCATAATTATGTTCAATTAAATTCAAAAAGGAAAGGATGCATGCGTCATATGTATCTGCGATAAATTAAGTTGAAAGAAACGAGAGCGTTGTGAAAAGGAAGCCTTGATTGACATTTTGACCTGTTGAATTTTAAGTTCTATTATAATTTTTTTTTAATTGATTCGTCTGCTCATCGATTTCTAAGCTTATTTAATTTAATTAATCATTTGAGCTTCCATTTTTTTCTATTTTCATGAAATAGTGATAAAAATTAGTTATATCTATCATAGATATAATTAAATTCATATTTTAACAAGCTTATACATATGAAATTTTTACTTATCTCGATGAGGCTCAAACAATCAACCAAACAAGTAAATATCGTTATGTCAATCAGCTCTACCCTTCCTCAATTACGCTCCGATCAGGAGGTTGGGCCATATTCATTTGGGCACGAATCGCGTTTAATATTTTCCTAATGTCTAAATGGCTAATATAAGTTTTAAATTGTGCCTATCCGCTACTAGTATTTCAGCTAAATCCATGACTCTCTAAATCGGTTAGATGGATATATGCTAAATATCTATGCGCTTTTTTTTGATACTGATATATTATTCGTTTGCATGACTTATTTTTTGACATTTTTTTATGATTTTTCATCTATCTTTCTTTATTCTTCTAAAGCATATCAAAGACAGACACCCGTGAATAGGCCCGTTAGATGTTGAGTAATATAAGTTCGATCCTAGAACGCTAATGGGGACTAGGCTCAGGACCTAGTGCAATTTTGAATGTGCTATTAATTTTTTCTTTTATAGTTTCTAAATTTCGTAATATGTTGATATAATATTACATTTTGCATATATATTTATTTGAAAAAATGTCAATTATAATATATTAACAGTAATAATATTAATTGCTATTATATAATTATTTTATAATATATTAATTATTAATAATTCCACATTAGCGTTTCAGGATGAATTTCGACGATTCATGAGAATTTCCCATCATTTTAGAAAATTTTAGAGAGAGCACACTACGACGATAGATCGAACGATGAGAGTCGAGCTAGCGAAAGCTAATCTAAAGCAACAACCGAAAGTCGGCCTATCTGCGCGAAGTTGCAAATTAAAAGATGAAAGGAAAGTTCGTGAGAAACATTAATTATTATTATTAATTGCGTGAAACAAAGAAAAAAGTGGAACAATGCCCAACGAGGATACATGACACTCTCTCAATTTTGACTTTCTCTCTCTCTCTCTCTCTCTCTCTCATACACATACATACACATCATGTAGACGGACAGAAAAATAGAGATTTAATGTGCGCACCCGCACTTAGCCGACCACGGTATCATCGACCCCGAGGAAGATCGCGCTATTATAATAATTCGGTATTCAGCGCGCATGAGGAGAAAATGCTGCAATACTGCTTGATCAATACTTCTCGCGCGCGCGGCAGCTCGACCAATCGGGGATTCGCCAAAGACAGGACTCATAACTTCGATCCTGTTCGGTGTCTTTCCTTCTTTTCCTCGAGGAGTAGAGCCAAATGTCCTAAATTCCTAATTCGCACAGCATAACCGGAAACGAGCCGACCGTTTCAAGGCAATTCATCGGTCAACAGGCTCGTCGGTTCTAGACAAGTTTGCTTCAGGGTGGCTGATTGATCCTCGAGACTGCGTTTTAAACCCTCTATCGTCTGCATCAGCATCTGCCGTCGTAGCTGAGATAGCTGATGCTGGAAAAATTGTGAATCTTGGACGTTGTTTGCGTTTGCTTCGGCCGCTAGTCGTTCTTGTCGCAATTGAGCCATTTTCTCCTTCAGAGATCTTCTCGAATCATCTACACGTGTACAAAATCATTTTATAATAATATTCACAGAAGAAAATAGCTGACAGTTAGGTCAATTCAATTTATATACTCCTTTTAACTTAAAATGAGACAATCAAAATAGTTTTAAAAATTGTCAAAGTAGAAAAATACTAGAATAAATCACAGATCTCAATCTCCTCCAATCTTATTTTTTTAATATAAAATGGCAGAAACTAAAAATGGAAGTAGTTCATCTGATTTTTTAGGTAATGGAATGTTCCTATTATTACTGCTTTGTTGCAAATCAAATTGAACGCGATTTAGAATTACACATTAAAATGTCTAATATATCTATCACCGAATAATACAATTAATATTATAAAAAGAGAAGGAAGTGTTTCTTCCAGAATGAAAAAAATAGATATAAGAGAAACATTTATACCAGTATCATCGGTGGCTGTATCGCCGTCAGAGTTTCTCAGCATAATATGCTCGCCCAATGTCTTTTGTATTCTGCCATATGTTGCGCTTCCGGCGTACACCTTTCTTTTCACCGGTTCGCTTTGTGGACAATAGGAAGAACTTTCCTTAATGGGGCCCATATCGATTGACCTGCAAAGTATTTTTCTATTATAAATAACCGATAATTATGTGTATTCAAGAAAAAATATACAATATTCAATATACAATATACTTCAGTATTCCATTTTTTTAAATAAAATATATATTGATACTACCATAAAATAAAAAAGAAAGCGAGCTTTTCAAATAAATTTCTCCCAAAACTAATAAGTAGCTTTTAATTTAAAGAAAATATTTTAAATTTTCCATTAAATTACAATCTGGAAATTGTCCAACATTTTATAAAATAGTTACTAATGACCTAAATGTCATTAATGGAGCCCTTCGTCTCACATCACACTTCTCCTCGGAATCCGATGAGCTGGATATTACGCCCTCCTCCTTCGTCGATTCTCTCGTAGCGCAAAACTCCTTTCTATCTCCGACGAGAGAGGAACTCATCGAATTCGCGTGCGTTTTATCCCCATGGGAGTTCGTGTCCATCGCTTCCAGCCTTGGTCCACCGTTGTACTTCAAAGCAATCCGAGGCGATCTATTGAACTCCCTGGATTCTGAATCATTGCCATTACGCGCCCGATGTATCTGGTGATGCATCAGACTTCTACTGGGCGAACTCTGAGGCGTCGTCCTACGCAGCATTATCGGCGAATCTGGACACTTGGACAAATCATGTTGTCGGAAGGCGGGTGAAGAAGGCTCTTTCGGTATGAAAGTTCCAGCCGGTGAGTTTCTCTCCATGAATCGGTGGATCGGTGAGCACGGTTGAGTGAATTGTCGCTTTGGACTAGTGTGCTCCAGATCCCGAATGCTACCGCTTTGCAGTTCTGGCTGAGAATTGCGGCTCTTGGATAGCGCCAACTCAATGTTCAGCTCCGTATTCTTGATAAGCTCGACGCGCTTGTTCGCAAGACCATTGTGCAATTTGCGCGACGGCGATGGGATGCACAATGACGGGTTCTGGTGCTTCTGCATGCTCACAAGAATGTTTTCTGCTTCTAAGATGAGTTCACGATACTTGCGATCGGCCTCTTTATCCGCCTCGATCAGTGCGATCTCCGATGCGAATGTAGTCATGTATGTATTGCCAGCTACGTGACGCCGTACTATATTGCCATTTACGTAGCTCACCTTGAAGAAAAACAAGATAATGTAATGTAAGACCTTAAATAAGATATTATTTCAGAAGTTTGAAGTAAAAAAAAGAAAATCTAATAAATTAAGATTTCTTAAAAAGATGAGAATATATGTGACATAAATTGAATTTGAATCTTACCGAATTCGATCGCCTCTTCACGATCTCATTCTCCATCACGGAAGGTCGGACGACCGACGAATTGTCGTTCAGTCTCATCGGCGAGAGATTCTTGTTGACGTCATGCTTCCTGCGTCGCAGACACATCGGTGTACCGCCCACGCTTCTGCTGCCCTGATTGAATCCCGAGTTCTTCAGTAGCATTCTCTCTACTAGCACGCGATTCAGATTCGCTGTCTCGTCATCGCATCGGTCCAGAGCAGGCTTACGACGCTGCGATATCCTTTTCTTACGTTTCTCGCTCTGCTTGTCGTCCGTCTTCTTGTGCCGCGCGCTCTGTCTCTTCGCGCTGGCTCTCGTATTTGCGTTTCTAGCAGCATAACAGAGATAGATGATGTAATTTAAGTATCATCTGTGTGTGTGGCAGATGGAAATGATAAAAAAAAATAGATTTTGCTAACTTGAGAGAAAACTTTCAAAGACCTCACCTCTGAGAGCCGACCTCATCTTTGTTTCTGCGCTTAAGAATGGATTCGCGGAGTCTGGTGCCGCGCCTGTTCAATTCGCTCGTGAAAGCGAAGTAGGTACAGTGGCCGGTATTGGGAAAATGACCGGCACCACCGTATTCTAGATTGTCCAAGTCGAGGAAAGAGCCGTTGTCGATGTAATCGAGCTCGTCGTTCTCGAACGGATCGTTCTCGTCGCCGCCATCCTGGCCGGTATCGATGTCCGACAGTGAGTCGATGTAATCTTCGCAATCGGTCGGATCGCTGTCCGACAGAATATCAGTTTCCTTCTCATATACGTAGCTCTCGTCGAATTTGCCCATCATCTCGTTCAGCGTGATGTCGTCTTCGGATGAGCGCGCGCTACGCGTCACCGAGGATGCTGAGGAGCTGCTGCTGCTGGCTCGTCGTTGTAAAGATAGAGGAATCTTGGGTCGAAGATCCATGCCCGATGTAATCCTCCAATTTTGATTGATCCTGCGAGATACATAAACTTTCTTATTCGAATTGTAAACTATTTTTTAAATATATAAATTTATGTAAAGATTAAATTCTAAAAAGAAGGTAAAAACTAGTTATATAAAAAATGGATTGATTTCATTTCGATTCTTATTTTTATTTGTTTTTATTTTTAATTAAATATTAATCTATAATTTTATTTTTGATTTAGTTAAATATTATAATCTATCGTTAAATTATATAGTTAAAATTAAAGCATTTTAAAATGCTTAATTTTATTTATAAATCTAAAGAGTATATAAAGTTATTTATAAAAGAATAAAGTTTGAAACTCTTTTTTTCTATTTTTATAACTTAAAATTTTATCTTATGTTTGTGCACATGAAATAATTTTATTATCATATAGGTACTCTGAATGAACAGATCATAATCAATGCAATGATATCTACGCGTTGATAATTTATGTAATCGCGCGATATTTATTTCCATACAGAATGTATAATGATACGTGTAATGCGATTTTAAGCGAATGTGCAAGTTATAAATATACAATTATAATAAAGTACACGCGCAATTTGCTAATGAAAATCGTATTGCCAAAGAGGAATTATCGATCAATGATATGATACGTGTAATTCGCGTCGAGGTTGATTGCAAGTTAAACATTAAATTTGGCGTGTGTGTTTGAGAGAAAGAAAGAAAAAGAAAATCAGTATCAGTGCGAACTCTCTATTCTTGCGATTGCGCACTGGATCGCGATTGTGAATCGACGAATAAAGTGGTTTCATAGCTTTTTTCTCGTCTTGCAAACTTTTCTAATCGTTAACTTTTCCTTCAACTACATCGCCCCTATTTCGATTGAAATGGAAGACTAGAGAAGCCAATGGATTTGGAGAAAGAAAGACGACCTACGAACGCTTTTCGCCAGCCAACTTGTGCAATTAAAAGTTTCTTCTGTGAAAAATCAGATTGATTCCGAGATCAATAATGCAGCTACAGAAATTTTTATTTTCTTCATATGTTTTATATCTTTCTCATTTAATCATTTAATATTTATACTTCTATGAATCAAATCATCTCTTCGAATATCTAATTAATTGTCATAATAATTATTTCCTAATTTAATTGGTATCTAACAACTTACATTTTACATTTTTTTTCCAAAAATGTAGTCACGTTAACTGTATGCCATTTTGTATATATAAAAATATGACGCTTACGGGCTTCGACCCGCGCTGAGGCTCTCCTGACGATGCTCCCTCTTGCCTTGAGACTCTCTGCTGTTGTTCAGGTTGACATCGCTGGCGCTACCGGATGACTCCGTGAGCTTCAAGCCGGAGCTGCTGCTGCTGCTCTCGTCCTGGGCGTGTCGCGACTTCAGGCCATTCGTGCTGGAACCAGACGAGTTCGCCGACAACCACGGGTTCGTCCGGATGCGGGAACGTTCGCGGGGCGATTGCACCGGTGGCGAGACCAAGGGCGGCGGTATCGACGATGGTACGGGCAGGTTGTTTCTCGAATCGGCCGAATACGACTCCGTTCTGCGATGCGAATGTTCCTGTTGTCTCGGTTGCTGCGTCTGCTGTTGCTGCTTCTGATTATGATTCGTTTCCGTGTTCTGCTAATTCAAATTAAAAATAGAAAGAATGATAGGAAAAATATCTTGCATTTTATTAAGCTTTATGATCGATTTCAATTATGATCGTGGTTGATCAAATTTTTTATTCATGGCAATTACGTTATAATATATAAAGAGAAAGAGAGAAATAAAGATAGGTTTTTTAAGAAAATTGTGCTTAAAATTAACTTATGTTAGTGAAGAATAATTTGATTAAGTGTCATTTCTTTTTAATGATATAGTGCATGTTTTATGTGAATTTGTTACAGGCAACAAAGTGAAAATAATGATTGATTTTAAAAGGAACATTGCGGGAATCTATTGCTGACGTGAGAAAAATCATCTGAATTATCGTTTAACTTATAATTACGTTTTATTTTTTTAGAATTATTATTTTTAGAGAAATATCAAAAGCAGCAGAATTTTCTCTATAAAATATGTTATACTAATTATTATTAATCTATTTGATCATTAATTAATCTATTTGAAGAATCCATTCTCTTGTTATGTGAAAAAATGTTCGCTTTGCTCGAAAATCATTCATTCATTCATGCAAACTTCTGTTTGGAGTCCCGCCTTTATATTTGTCATTCCGTTCGCGTATTCTCGCCTTTACCGTCAATCTAAATCGCAAACTCGATCGTTTCTCTCTCCATTGTACTGAAACGAGGGTTGTGACACGGTGTGCAACACACAATCGATCACAGCTTGGGGAGGAGGAAGGATTCATTTTTCACTCCCGCCGACCATTAACTCCCGATATTCTGGCGCACGTTCTTGACGATAATGCATCGCCTTTTCGAGCCATGTGACTCGGGAGAGAGAATCTTGAGAAGAAAGTGTGAGATGAAGCACGTTTCCAGAATTTCTCATTCCTGTTGGCAACCGCATTCTTCCGGAGGAAGGACAATGCGGCTAATAAATATCTTTTCTTGACAAATTGTAGTGTGTGCTCCATGAAGGGGCCACTGAGCTTCCGTTACGTTGTTCCTCAGACAAACTTGCGCTTCGTGTTAAATTCACTGAAAGGAATTCGTAAGCCTTGTTACCTCGTCTATTTCTCTCTCTTGCAGTATGTACCACGACGATAAACGCTACTCCAAAATATATACTTCCTGCTTGACGGAAGAGGCCGGATGTCGTTGAACTCGCGGCTTTAAAGACTGTCAGCGAACAAACGCACCCTCAGGAACCCGGGGTGTGAGGGGTATGTTTAAGCGAAACGATGGCAATCTCACGCGACGAACTCGAGAAGCGCATTTACTTTCGGTCTATAAACTATTTGAAAGGAACGCGTAGTGTTTGACGAAGAAGCCACATCTCGTATGAATACGTTATATTCGAGGCATCTCGAAACTTCGCGATAATGCACGCTTCTCTAGCATCCCATAATCGAGACTTGAGTTGAAATTTTGCCAAGGAAAATTATATTATAATAAGACAATTTTTTCTAATTTTTTTGATTCTCAAGAATATTTTAATCTTTTTCTTAAAATCGATATATTTGAGACAAGATTTGTTAAGAGACACCAAGCATTTTCGATGTGTAAACGAAGCAAATAATTAAAAATATTTTTGTTTAATTTCATAATCTGCAAGAACAGAGAAAATTATTGAAAAAACCGTAATTATAACTAAAAAAGCAAAAAATTATTCTCCTTCGAATCAGAAAAATGATTGTAATGATACCAGATATATATAATTATTTTTTTCTAAACTTAATATATAAAAAAATATATAAAAATAAAAATACATTATTCTCTTTCGAATGAGAAAAATGATTGTAACAGTACCAGATACATATAATTATTTTTTTCAAAATTTAATATACAAAATATATAAAAATAATATAAAAAAATATATAAAAGAAAAGAGTTACAATACTAAATTTACATATTAGTATTTATGGTATTTGTAAATTAATATTTCTAGTTGCCAAATATTATCATTCGATTATATCCCTGTTACATCAACTCAGTTGTAATTTTGTAACTTATTAGACACAATGTATGTACTTACTTTATGTGGCATACTCGTTCGTACTTCCGGCTGAGCGTTGTCCTTGGTTATATTCGTGTTCGCGGATGACTGCTCCCTGTCTTCGACTCTTCCATTTCCTGACGTGCCTGGTGATAGATTCCCGGCGTCGCTCGGCGGCCTCTTCGTCCTGGCTTTGCTACTGTTGTTATTGTTATTGGTAGGAGGGATGGTGATGGTACTTGTGTTCGCACCACCGTTACCGTTGCTCTGAAAATAGTGGGTGCCAGTCCTGATGTTGATGTAATATTCGGGCGGGAAACTAGTGCCGGGCGAGGTGCCGTCAGTCGAGTAGCCGGTGGAGTACGCGCTCTCCGGCGAGGAGAGACTCACGCTTCCGGCGGTACCGCCGGAAGTGCCGGACGAGCTGGTCACGGTTGCCCCGTAGCCGCCCCCGTGTAACCGGATACCGTCCACGTTCTTCGTCGGTGAATCTATCGGATGTACCTGCGAGGAGAAAATTAAGATTTGTTTATTCGAATGCATCGAGATTCTGATTTTTTATTGATTTATTATATTAATATTTTTCTTCAATAAAACAATCTTTTAACTCGTATATATAAGTGTCTAATAAATACATGAAAAATGTTGATCACTTTTCTCTCAAAATTATTTTTCTATATTTTTTAATAACATTGATCGCATATTTTATACTGACTCACTGTAATATCGAGACATAAAACACTAATTATTAAATTAAAAAATTTATAAAAATATTAAAAAGTTTCTGAATCCAATAAATACAAATCTATATTGCACCTAAATCCTTGGAATAATAAAAAAAAATTCTTTTATCAACAAAGAGATTTAAAAAATATCTCTTGTCTTTTAATCTTGAATTCTTCAGAATTATTATTCTTTATATCAAATATATTTATAGTTCACAAATTTAAAATTACCAAATATGTCAATAACTTGTAGAGAAATTTCGCGTATGATAATAATTCGGAAAATACGTCGATGCACAGTAAAAGAAGAATTGATGTACAACACGAATTCATAAATTTTCAACGCTTTCTCCGTAATGTGCAGCTTCGATAAGGCAGCCATCCGCAGACTGCATAAAGCACCAAAGATACTGCAACGAATGGCGCGAGAACGAGGGCGATTCTGCTGCCTGCCAGGGTGTGTCGGGTAAAGAATACTAAACTCTTTTTCTACCCGCCTTAACGATAAGCGTCGACGTGCCTTGGCCGCTCCTACCATAGAAAATGCCGACGTAAGGGTCTGTTAGCGGAGAAATGCGGACGAGCGTAACGAGCAAACGTTGGCAAGCAGTAGGAAAATAGGGGAAGCACTTCGCGAACTAGTTTGCCGATAATGACGGTGAATCCAGCGAACGTACGCCTTTCAAATATGCTTCGGAGCCTTGCAACGATCGTGATTGGAGCAATTAGTATTTACAAGACTGACGTAAAATGTCGGTCGTTGGCATCGCGCATAAATTTACAAAAATGATGAACAATGATGTAAAAATTCTAAATCTCTGAAATTTTCATATTCCGGAAAATTATTAACTTTCTTGATTTACATCGAATGTTATAAATTGCAAATTCACAAAAACCCTTTCAAGAAAAAATGTGCTTTTTGATACAAAAAAAATTTTAATCTGTGTTAGATATAAATTATCATACTATAAGATATACATATATAAAATAATGTTATAAATTGCGAATTTATAAAAACCTTTCAAGAAAAAATGTGCTTTCTAATATAAAAAAAAAATTTTAATTTTAATCTGTTAGATATAAATTATCATATTATAAAAGATATATGTAAAACAAAAACAATAATAGATTTCAGACCAGATCACGCTTAGTAGCTTGAATAAACTTAAATAAAATAATTCACGATAATTATAAAAAACATCAGAGATTTATAGATATTTTAGAATTATTTTATAAATGACTAACAAGTAATCTAATTGAATCTATTCACCTGGTGCAAAGCGGGAGATCTGTTGGCGCTGTGGCTCCTGGGGGAGTTGCAATTCGAGTCAAATCCCTTGTCGCCCTTCTTCCGATCTTTCTTCTTCTTCGATCGCACGATGTGTGCCTCCATCCACGTGCGCAATTTCGTCCCGAACATGATGCACACGAGTGTCGGCTAACGGAGTGTCGGCGTCTCGTCGAAAATGCCCAAGTGGATAGAGGACCCCTTCTCACGACTGTTGCCCGCAGAATCAACTGTGATCGCGTTATTTGCGCGTTCTATTCGAGCGCTCCATTTCACGGTGAAACTGGATTTCTGCAACAAAAACGATCGTTCAATTTCGCACCGAATCATAATCAAAATAAAAAAGAAATTCAAAAATATACTACCTGTAGAAAACCCGATTTATAAAAATCTGGAATGTTTGGAATAAAAATTTTTATCTGTAAAAGAGAGAGAAAGAATTGATGATTTTTATTTAAATTATTTCAAACTATTTACGAATCTAATTTCATTGGAAACGTCAATCATCTCATTGCGTGAAACGTGACATGATTGCGATTCAATTTATTAATCATTACAGACGGACGATGCACCGGTTCTCTCATCGTGTATTGCGATTATTGCAGCTTCATGTTACACCGGCTATTTACACAGGTTACCTTCGCTCTCGCTCCTTTGAATCATCAATATTATTCTCGTAGGAGCAGCAGCCACGTAGCTCTTCGCATTAACATATTAACAAATAGCTCTACGTCGCTTTTATGCCATTTTTCCTGGCTCTAACACGAACAAACATTGTGACAAGCCAATCCCACCAAGACAATAAATCTATAATATAGGATACACCATGTTCGCGAATATAAACTCTTGTATCACGAAACGTAGATTTATGTGACTGTCAGTGGAAGGAAAATTTTCCAATCAATCACTTTTCAATGTCAACTTATAATCGCTATTTTATATGCAGCATATACGAAATTCAAGGCGTACATTTTTTTTTCAAGATTTTACAATAAATTTACTAAACGAATTTTAAATTAAAATTAAATTTAAATTTTAAATTAAAATTAAATTTAAAATTAAATTTAAATTTAAATTTTTGATATAACGAGTAAAATCTAGAAATTTATTTTTAGGTCTAGAATTCCTATGAGATCTATGTAAGCGAAATTGACTTGTACGATAATCGACGAATTGAATTTAATTAGAGGAGTCGACCATCGAGTTCAGAGTAATTAAACTGGATAATTAATGCATGTATTCAAGGGAGCTGTAATGATTTAATTCATCATCATTAATAAGAAATAAGTGTATAACATTTTTGGCAGTTACAATTTTGACAAAAATGTTAGAATTTTACATTATACATGGAATACTTATAAAATCGAAAAATCGAAAAAAAAACTAAATATAATTTAATAATTCTAATGAAAAAATTTTTCTTGTTTTAAAATTTAAGTTTTAGAAATAAAATTAATCTATACATATAGGTACAAAAATGAGAAGATTTATTTCTCTGGTTCTAAAAACCTTCTTACTATCCTCTATATTTATAATCAATTACACTAAGTGAATCGCTTGCTTTTGGTTATAGCTTCGACGTCTCAAGGAGATGCGCGAATTTACATAAACGCAGTCTAAGGCCATAGTTTCAGGCACGATTTTGGAAACTCGAAGGCAAAGTGATCTCCTTATGGAAATAAGCGGATCGACGATGTCGTCAACTTTCAAGAGGCACCGTTGAAAACGTATTACGTGCGCCGGCTGAGTTTTAATCAGGGCTTTTCATCGTCGCCTCGAAAGTTCTCGGAGAAGATAGGGCGTGGTAAAAAAATATTAAATGCATCTTTGGTTCGCGAGCTTTTTGAATCTCATAGCATTATATATATACAATATTAGTAGCATTAATTAAACTGTGTGACAGATTTTACGAGACATTAAATAGGTACAGTTACGCGCTGTCCCAACCTTTGCTCTCGTCTTTCGGGTTATAAAACGAATTATATATTTTATAAAATCATATTTCTTCCACTTGCTCGCTTTTATATAATCTCTCGTACTTGTATAAATATTAATATTTTAGTATATTTTACGTTGCGTCAAATTAATCCCTTTTTATCCCCGTCCTTTCTAGTCTCTTTCGTTTGCTTTATTATTCTTTTATCTATTGTACTATTTCTATAATCTATTTACAGTAGTATAGTAAAATTAATATACAGTACAAAATAAATCATACACCTTTCAACAAATTGAATTTTGCCCTGGACAAAATATAACAATATTGAATAATAAATTTTTTACAAAATAATTGAGCATAATTTTTATTATTTCCTATTTTCTTTATTTAAATACTTTGAAATGCTTCGACTTTTCTGTATCTAATAATCTATTTGCTTGTTAAAAGAATAGTTATATTAACAAATTCAATTTGTTGAAAGGTGTATGATTTATTTTATCTAGTACTGTATATTCCAGTTTCTTATCACGCTCTAATATCCTACATCTGCGCTAAAATCACTTGTGGAAAAAATTTCTCTTATCTCCTTCATTCTATATATCTCTCATCAACTCTTTTATTCTTGATAAAAATGATTTCATCTTGTATTTTTTCTTAGAATCGACTTTATTACGCATTTTTTATTCATGCTCATCATTCACGGAACAGATGTGATCTCTTTCGCTACGAAAATTCATCTCACGTATATTCCTTATATATCGCATGCCATATGCGAATGTCGCAGACTTTGTTCAAGCTCTGTCGCGATGTACGATATATTTACTCGCGGAGCCAGGTTTCTCGATCTATAAGTCCGCTTATCAATCTTCAGGCCGCGGAGAGAGCTTTTCGCGAAATAAATATCTCGTCGGTTGCGCCGACGTCATCGCGTGCGTCGACGCGATTGAATTCGCTCTGCGTCCCCTTCTTTCCCTTTCTGATATGGGCGACTCTACGTGAGCGGAAACCGGAAGACTACGAATCGAAAGACGTCCACGAATCCAATGTGGCGAATTTCTCGCGCGGGGAAATAACCGACGGTTCGACGATTCGTGACTGGAGAGATAGATGATTCATAGCAAAAGGAAGAATTGAGTTCATTTGTGGAAAATCGCGATTAAAGTCCGGCAAGAAGGGAAGTAGGATTGCACGAGACATCAAGATCTTGATATTGTCTTGTCTTGTCTCGAAATTCGGGGAAGGAAATTTAAGGAAAGATTTTTAATTATTTATCAAGACAATATTAAAACTAAAATTGTCAAGATTAGATGATATTATATATAATTTTAAATCATTCAAAAAGAGAAAGAGAGTATTAGATTGGAATTATTAATAAAATAAAGACAAGATAATACAAGATGAGTTTGCTACAAAAAACCAATAAAAATCAAGATAAAATTTAAGTTGTCGAAAATTATAAAATAAATAAATAAATAAATATAATAAAATAAACTAAATAATAAATAAAATAAATAAATATCAATACGATATTTTCACAAATATTATTGCGTCTTGAGTCTTGTGTAACTCTATTTGGAAGAATAAACATTCTGTGAAGCAAATATTTTCTCTAGATTCTAAGGAAAACTTACACAAACATTCACGTTATGAATTTGTTAGCAGAATATAAATAATAAAATAAATAAACAGATTCTAATTAGAAAGATAAATTTCTTCGATTCCATAATCCATAAATCACAACTATAATTTAATCATTCATTCAGAATAAACAATTGAACAAGAAGAGATCACAATATCTCGGATTTCTCGGAGAAATTTCAGATTTATTAGATTTATAGATCCTTGCTTAAGAAGCAATTCCTTGATTAAGAATGATTTTATCCAAGACAGCTTAACAAGAGGCAGCTATCGAGCGACGTGGATACTCCTACATCGCTTTCTCCCCATTCGCTACAAACCTCAGCTCGTCGGATCTCTTAATCGCATCTGGCATCGCGACGCTCGTTAAGACGTCTCTTCCTTATCATTCGCAATGATTCGATTGCGTATGCTAATACACGAGTTATATAATACGGTTAACTTCGTCGTCATCATCGAGGATTTTATTTCCAGGGATTTCCAGGATCTCATTTCCATAATATTTCGGCGGAATTTAAGGAAGAGTATCAAGAAGGATCGTTACTTCAAGATCTCCAAAACCACTTGCGTGTATTCATGAAGTTTGCATGGTTCGACGATTACGAACTGAATTTTCTCTCCCTTCTTCGAATGTTCGATCGAAACTTAATTACGTCTTCGATTTTCTGAAAATTATTATGCTTATCCTTCATAAGTATAATATTTGCCGACCATAGTACTTCGCCAAGATCGATTATAGCAAGTTCTACGATTATAAAACACGATAACATACACATAGAAATGAGAACAGTCGAATTATCACAAAAACTAGATCGCGAAGACCTAGAAAGCGATACCTAGAAAGTGATGTTTTTAATGTGCAATTATATTATATTTCCTTATGGTTATATAAGTTTTATCTTATATCAATATAATGATTTCTTGTCATTTATTTCACTCATCAAAGCGTAAAAGTAATCAATAAAGAAACTTTCCATTTCTTTTAACGCTATATATGCGATATTATTAAGAAAATGTGAAAATGCATAATATTAATAATTAATTTAATTAATTTAATTTTGAAATTTTATTTAATATAAATTACGCAATTATTTCACATACATATTTGTTCCAGTTTTATGCACTATCATTGATCTTTCCCCACCATCAATATTGTCAAAACTAGGTGTCTACATAAATACATTTTCTGAAAGGCGAAATTGCTCGGGCGATGGAAAGGATTAAACTAATATACGACACGTTGACGCGCTCCAGCGGAGACGTCGAGTGGAGAGTTTTCAGGGTTAACGAGGGTTCCTTTAGTCCGGACGCACAGGCGGATCGCCGTATCGATGAATGGTCAGAGACAAGAGCTCGTTAGTCTCGTTAGAGTTAGCGTTGGTCGCAAACAGGCGCGTCCCGCGGCTAGGAAGAGGGGAGGAGGAGGAGGTTCAAGTGGGTGCACCGCACCAACCCCTGTAATTTATCGTGGTCGAAGCGACGTGTAATAACGATGATATCGGGGTAACTTCTGGCTTGATTAAAGTGAAGCTTATCGCCCGACCCCGCTCCCGCTCGTGGAATATTTTCCTACTTTCGACGCCGAAAACTCGTCGAGTTAGCGCAAAATCTCAAAGTGGGTTACCACATCAATCTGACGAGCTCTCGTTTGATTTATAGCAGCGCTACTTGAAATACGAAAATTACAAAATACCAGAAAAAAACTGAAATTAATCAGTGAGGGAACATTAAAGGGAATACGAAAAGTATATACAAGGCAAAAAAAGCTCTTGTAGCTTACCTCGAGCTTAGCTTTTCAAAACACTATAATAAAGTATTTTATTCATCGAGTTATGAGACTTGAAG